CATTCATGTTTCTGTTCGTTGTAGGTAACGTATTATATATGTTTCTGTTCGTTGTAGGTAACCTATTATTCATTGTTCTGTTTCCTGTAAGTAACGTATTATATATGTTTCTGTTCGTTGTAGGTAACCTATTATTCATTGTTCTGTTTCCTGTAAGTAACGTATTATATATCTTTCTGTTTGTTGTAGGTAACCTATTATTCATTGTTCTGTTTGCTGTAAGTAACGTATTATATATGTTTCTGTTCGTTGTAGGTAACCTATTATTCATTGTTCTGTTTCCTGTAAGTAACGTATTATATATCTTTCTGTTCGTTGTAGGTAACCTATTATTCATTGTTCTGTTTGCTGTAAGTAACGTATTATATATCTTTCTGTTTGTTGTAGGTAACCTATTATTCATTGTTCTGTTTGCTGTAAGTAACGTATTATATATCTTTCTGTTTGTTGTAGGTAACCTATTATTCATTGTTCTGTTTGCTGTAAGTAACGTATTATATATCTTTCTGTTCGTTGTAGGTAACCTATTATTCATTGTTCTGTTTGCTGTAAGTAACGTATTATATATCTTTCTGTTTGTTGTAGGTAACCTATTATTCATGGTTCTGTTTGCTGTAAGTAACGTATTAATCATGGAGGTCTGCATCAATGCACAAGCTTGACACACTCGCTATGGACTGTATCAACATGTCTCCGTACCCACATCGTGAGTCGTGTTCCATCTGCATGTGTCATGCCGACTGTTGCTCGTCCCCTCTTTCAGACATTATACTTTCTATGTGATATAATTCCATCCTCCAAAATAAAAATGTTTTGACCGATTCTCTTTGCGTTTTTGTTTGTCACTGTAAGTTTTGCCTTTGAGTGAATACACATTAACTAATACAATATTTCCCAGAAAATGACACTATGTGGTATGGTAAAATTGACATACGTTTTGGTTTGGTTTCATAGCCATTTGTAAGAAAGATCCAGAAAGATGTACCTTTTTTTAATGAAACGGTGCGGCAAAATATTGGGTTATACTTCCAGGAATCAAAGTACCTGGTAAAATAATACCTGACGACACCGCTCGTGAGTGTGCCCTCCAAAACGAGCGAATGGATAAATGAAAGATTTAAGATAATGTGCTTCTAAATAGAGATATAGTAGAATGACAAATATTGATATTCCTCTAAAAATATTTAGACGAGCATTCTCTCTTGTAAACTTGGCAATAGGAACATTTCAATAACCAGTTTAATAGTTATATCATATTATGTCATATAATATTAATAAAAGGCAGATGTTGTGACTTCAACCAAAATATCAATAGATAATGAGACAAACCGAACATGTGAACAAATACCTGGTCCACCACACATAAACAATACGGATGCAAAGTGTGGGAACATAACTGAACAGAGAAGATTCGGTCTTCTACAATTATCGACTGTATTGTGTTTACCGTGATTTTGATGTATGGTTTTACGCCGCTTTTAGCAATATTCCAGCAATATCACGGCGGGGGACACCAAGAATGGGCTTTACACATTGTACCCATGTCGGGAATCGAACCCGGGTCTTCGGCGTGACGAGCGAACGCTTAAACCACAAGGCTACCCGACCGCTCCTGTGTTACCGAGAACTATGTAGACTACGCTATTGTAAAATCATCAGTTCATTTACAACCATAAATGAAATGCCTCTAACATAATAAAGTAAATAATAATTTACAGAAATAAGTATGTAGAATTGCAATTATAACACACTTGCTTACTTCCGTTGAAATTGTCACAGCTAGAAAATATGCTAATTAATACGACAGAAAAGAACGACACAAGAAAGACATTGCTATCGGGGAAGGTATGTCTGGTATCCGGAACAAGTGAGTGGGCATTACTGGCAACCACCGGCTCAGATGATAATCCTGATGTCTTAAAGTTTACTTGCTTGTCAATTCATCTTGCAGACCAATATATTCAAAAAAGGGGAATTGTAGTATAGTAGCATTCGACTTAGTCAGACACTCATTCTTCTGGCTTTTATGGTCACATGTGGGTAAGTGGGGTTGAAGGGATTTAATTAAAAATATTGTTTCAGTCATATTAGTGACTTTCAGCCTGGTGTAGGCAGAAAGCCTGAAGTAATGCAGGTCTTAGACTTTTACCACTTTTGTGAAACCGACAAGCACGGTTGTGGTGCTGACAGACCAAAATCAAATTTAAAGATCAAAAGCCAAACGAATCTTAGATTCGAACGGCGTCACCGAGATATTAAGCAGCCTTTTGGTAATGTACGGGACTGACTCTGCTTGCAAGTTACTTGCATCTGCAGCAAGAATTCAGTGTGCTCTCTCAAACGGTTTTCTGTGTGTTGCTACCGAGGGTTCGTGGTCTCACAGATAATGGTTCGTATAATATGAGGTTTCGACACTTGTATGGAAACTGTCATCTCTAGGAAGACATAACACCAACTTACAGACAACCTCATTTGTTTATGAGAGGAAGAATGCTACATGTGATGGCAACTACGAAGATGGAGAAAACTGATATCCGAGGTGTATACCTGCATAAAAAGAGCATGTCACCAAAGGAAAAACACGAAAATGTAAAAAACACACTTAAGAATGACTGCCCGCCTCATTACACTTTTGGGAAACGGGTTGCAGATGAAGAATTATCACATAGTATATAAGGTCAGGTTTTCCTGAAGGTACAACATCTGAAACTCTACATTGTAACTCAGGATATGACCTGGGCCCATCAGATTTGCTTTAACCCCACCATACTTAGTGGCGTCCGCTGGCAAAGTCTTAGCTTCGGGATTTCTGTGACAGAAAAGGGTTACTGACGACGGGCTATCCCCAACGGGGTCAGTAGGTCAGTTAAGGGAAGCCATCAAGGAAACAGGTCTGGTAAACCAACTTTGTCAGTGCATCCAAGCGGGTGTGCCTTGAACATCAGAAAACATCATCCATATGGCTAGGGGCACAACCAACTTCATAATGATGACACAGGAATGTGGCTACAAACGGGTGTGGCTTATGACTTCTTGATAATGATATTGAACTCTAAACCAGTTCAGTTTCAATACATTGAGTGAAGGGCGAAGTCATTGGAAAGTAGTTCAAAGAAATCACCAATATCCAATAGTATGTACATACAACATACGTGTTGTGAAACATATATTGATACTGGTGGGGAAATCAGCCTCAGACACGCTTAAACAGATAACCTCAATACACTCACCATGATGCCTGAACAAACCAGACCATTCATTTCACATACTACTATGACTGTGTTGTGGACAAATCAAGATGGTTCAATATGTTACTACGCCTCCTATACGGCTCTCACACTTCTGTAATTTTCAAAAGCTAAACATTTAATGTGTCACGTTTTGCAACTCGATATAACGAAGAGGTGATTTGATCATCCGGCCATCAATAGGGCCATTGGAATATGAAAATGAATTATTTCTTTTTGCAGGTTTGGTGTAAAATGGCATATGTGTCTTTTTGTACATGAGACATACATTTTCGTGTATTTTGTAAATGTGTTATACAGCAACTGATGCAATATCAAACGTTCGCTTAAAATTATTTTTATATTCAAATATTGCGTCTAATTTACTAGTAATCACCTGACCCCTGTTTTGGGTAACTTATTTCTGTTCTCAACCGATCTCAACCCAAGTACAGAGAACTCCGTCATCTAACAATAGGTATTGTTCACAGAAATCACAGCGAGTGTTTTACCCACAAATAAGCTCTTTTTCGAGCCAGGGTGGTCTTAACTAATCAAGTCTTGGTCCCGCAAGCAAATAGGTAAGATGATGAACATGGGTAAAAGCATTATTCATGCCCCCAGCCACGATGGCACAATCAGCCATGTCAGCCATGTGACAATTTAGTTGTCAATCATTGGTTGCTGGGAACCAATTTTACCTGGAACCAATACTGCTCAATGGACATAACAAAACACTTATGCTACATTCTTCCTCATCGACATTCCTTGAAACAAAAATACAATTAAGATGCACAACTCCGAAGCATTTGTTACATCCTCTTTCTCAATCAAAAAGGGCAGAGCATGACAAGGGTCCATGCTGACCCCTTGAAATTAAGCATAAAAGTTCATAGGACTAAAAGCAATATCAAGTCCAGTTGTATGAGTGAAATGTGTGAATAGGTACAGTGTGAGAGTTTGGTAAGCCTGTTTTCAACACATTTAAGTTCCTATGTCAGTATTGGCAAGGTTATAAGCAGATATTATCAGAGCTTTCGAATTGACTAGTTTGTGTGGTATCACTCTAAAGGGTTAACAAACAGATTTGTCTGACCTGGCTGTAACGCGTTTTAAAGTGATCAGTTCAATATTCCCTTTTCACTGATTGTTTAGGAGATGAAGGAAGCATCAGTGAAGTTTTTTGTGTGAAAATGTTTATCTTAGGTCACAGATATGCTCAGAGGTTTGTCACAGAACTTTGGAAAATCTTCCTTCATTTGAGCCACAGTATTTAATGTTGTCTCTCACCTTAACATTCCACAAGTTTTCACAGATATCCCCAACTTTTTAAAAAATTAAACTTTAATAAGCTAGCATTTGCCCATTGTCAGTTATTTGGAATTTGTAATCAACTTCATAACTTTTCACGAGTTTAACCAACTTTGTCATTTTAGTTTTGTGGGTCAATCACAAGTGTCCGTTGTGGATAGTTTTCCTCACATAAAACACATTAAGTTCTTCGTCCCACATTCTGAAGGGCGTTTTCGAAGCAACTGGTTCAAAATAGATACAATGAAATAAAAGGTCTAAAAGTTTCAAATTTTCTATGTGTTGATAGCGATCGAAGCATGCAAATGTGAAGTTAAATAGCTGCGGATAATACTGTCAAGCCACTCCCGTAGGTTTCTCAGTCTAATTGTCCTTCGGTCATCCCCCACCATTCATTCGGGATTATTTGTGTGAAAAGTCAACTCACGTCAATGTCTAGGCGGGGCAAAAGGAATTACAACCTGCGCAAGGCACATGCGTGTTAGGGTTGTGGTTATTATTTAAGCACGTGCAACACTGCGAAAACAGAGTTTTGAACTTCGCCTCTGGTGAGTGCACAAGGTAAGTTCATCATCCCCTTGATGATCGTAATATGTAATTATGAAATGTGGCACTTAATGGAGCAGTTTACAGCGGACAGTGTTAACCCTTAAGGTGAGGTGAGGTGAAATGGGGTTTCAAGCCTTACTGCACGTACATAGCGACGTGCCCGCACGTGTGTGTGGCTGCCTGTTCTAGTCCGGACTCATGCCGGCTTTATAGTGCTCGCCCACTGAGATACCATGCCGCAGTTTACTCTTTCAACACCAGTCAACCAGAAGGGTTTACTGCTGGGACACCGAGTTCCCAGAGACTCTTGTGTGATAGATGAAGCCAACATTTATCAAAGAAATTATTTGCTTGTAAAATATCTTTGCTACTACATGTTATACACCATTTGAAAGGTCTGATCCTATGGTTTATAAATATGAAAGTTATGTTTTTCACATTGTTTAAAATAATGCAGTTACAACTTAATTAAGTTCGTTGGAAATATAAAATGTAAGCTAACACGTTGTTAACGTCCAGATTAAGGACCAAGGAAGATTCCATAAAATCCACTTACCTATTTCTGTTTTATTTTCATTGTTTACATAATTGGAAAATCATTTTAAAAAGAATTATAAATAGTATTTGCTCATTACCCATTTCCCGATAACAGCGGCTGTTCGCTCAGTAACATGAATAAATACCCCCGTTTTCGAGGCTTCGTATGAATAATATGTTCGTCAAAGACTGGCATATGACACATCGCTAGAAAGCTTATTCCTTTTTTCGTAGTTATAACAAGCGCTTTCATTGGATTGAAATTGTTTTCAATGACGTTTTCTTGGCGAAATCTGCTACAAGGTTCGTGATTGGTCAAATTTGATCACGTGACCTAAGGCAGCCAATCAAATTACAGGTGTGGTACATAGCTCGTTTATGATAAATTTCAGAAGTTGACCAAAGATTTTTGTTAAATCATGTTATTCTGAACGTTTTTAGCAGGAAATCTCGATATATATTAAAAATATGGAACTTTGTTAATGTATCGTGCTAGGTTACGAGCTGTGACAAAGATTTTTCATGCATATATTTTTGCATGAAACATCGTGTCCGAGCCGAGAATTCAAGGCCACGAAAGCCGAGATGTCATTTGACTTACATTACACGCGATCGCACGAAAAGATGGAAATAATAACTTAGATGTTAGTTTAACAACTATATTTTTGTTGATTTTATTTATTACTTTGTGTAATATATTTAAAGATTTGCTTAAAACGTCTTTATTTTGCTCTTTGACATGTTCGATGTGGACCCGTTGTCGAAGTGTGTGTCCGAGAATTTTATTTTCAATAAGGTTGCGGGAAATAGTGAATATTTTTTTAATTTATCTATAATAAATGATAAATTGAAATGGAATACGTATTTCAGACATTGCGAAATGTGATGGATTTAATAAATGAATGATATTACGGGTAGGTCCATAAAAAATTTATACTATTTTGACGTGACTACGGCTTGGCCGGTAATCCGGCCTGCGGTGTCTGTGGACTCGATGCTTCTTGGCCGGTATATCGGCCTACGGTGTTGAAAGAGTTACTACCTACTCTGACAAAGGAACTGAATCCCAGCCGACCTGTCCTTGTTTTAGCCCCTTAATATCGTGCGCCAGGTAGGGTAACAACAAGTACTATCTTTTCACGTATTTTGGCAAGACGCGGTTGCCACAGAGCCAGAATTGCTTGGCTAAAATGCACAGGGGTCAGGATATCCCTGCACAGGGGTCAGGATATTTTCGCTTTACCTGGCAAATCCGGATTTGTTTCAGTCCATTTCAACCGTCTTGACAGGGCTCTATTGTAAATAGTTTGTTCAGTGTCTGAACTATTATAACATGATATCACATGTAAAATACTTTAAATTTATTAGTAAAAGACGTTTTGATAAATTTCAAATGGAAAACATCTACCCTACCATCATGGCAACGTATATTTTGCCAATCTCTATCCGACGCAGTCATCTCATTAATTCAGGCTCCTTACAGCGAAACGGCGTCGTATAATGTAGATTAACGTTCACTACAGAGGCACATGGTGCTCCGATCCTAAACATTACCAAAATGTCGTATAGCAATACGACGACAAACAAACGCTTGGATTTCAAATTTACACGGCCACACTGAGGGTACATCATTTCGTGTTCCCCTCCAGAGAAGTTTAAGAAGTAATATGTAACAGTCATTAAATATCACATTAATCTGTTTCAGGAACCAACACAATGGCGCTCGCACGTATTTTACTCGTTGCTCTATTCGTCTGTTCACTTTTCATCAACAACGCAGAAGGTACGTACTTGATTATTTACGGTTACGTCCCGGTTAAGTTTGTAATGCTTGTAGACTTCTATATATATTCCACCACGAGCAGTGGATGTCATGTCAGGTGCACATGTAATATCTGTAACCAGGACAGTGTATCGCAAGAGCCACCTCTACACAACATGGGGCCATGGGTGGCCCAGTCGTCTAAGGCGACGTGATTCGCTGTGCAGAGTTGCGTCCCTTGGACACGCCAGAAGCCTAAGATTGTGGGTTCGAATCCCAGTTCGCCCCGATTATGTTTCTAGGCTTATCAGCACCATACCCGTGGTCGTGGGTTTCACCAAAGTGGTAAACGTATGAGTCCTGAATCACTTAGGGATTTCTTCCCATATTAAACTGACATGCCGTGATATAACTGGAATACTGTTAAAAGCAGCGTTAAACCCAACTAACTCACTCACTCACTACACAACATGGAATACACCTATCATATACCACATATATCAACCAATACATAACATGGCATCCTCTTATCATGTACAGCACAGTGCCACCTCTACACAACATGGAATACACATATCATATACCACATGTAGCCACCTGTACACAACATGGCATACACCTATCACATACGGCATATGCTACCTATACACATTCATTCATTCATTCATACGTACTGCATGTAGACACATATAAACAACGGAGTATACAGTAGATATGTACTACGTGTATGCATCTATATTAAACAGGCGATTTAACGGATATGTTCTACGTGTTAGCACTTACAAACAATAGGGAATGCAACACATGCATACTACGTATAAACACCTATGTACAATAGGGTATACAACAGATATGTACTACATGTATACACCTATATACAATAGGGAATACAACAGATATCTACTACATGTAGACACCTATGTACAACAGGGTATACAACAGATATGTACTACATGTAGACACCTATATACAATAGGGAATACAACAGATATCTACTACATGTAGACACCAATGTACAACAGGGTATACAGCAGATGTGTACTACATGTAGACACCTATGTACAATAGGGAATATAACAGATATGTAGAACATGTAGACACCTATGTACAATAGGGAATACAACAGATATGTACAACATGTAGACACCTATGTACAACAGGACATACAACGGATATGTACAACATGTAGACACCTATGAGAACAGGACATACAACAGATATATACAACATGTAGACACCTATGTACAACAGGACATACAACAGATATATACAACATGTAGACACTTATGTACAACAGGGTATACAACATATATATACAACATGTAGACACCTATAAACAAGAGGGTATACAACAGATATCTACTACATGTAGACACCTATGTACAACAGGGTATACAGCAGATGTGTACTACATGTAGACACCTATATACAATAGGGAATACAACAGATATGTACAACATGTAGACACCTATATACAATAGGGTATACAACAGATATGTACAACATGTAACCACTTATGTACAACAGGGTATACAACAGATATGTACAACATGTAGACACCTACAAACAATAGGGTATACAACAGATATGTACTACATGTAGACACCTATATACAACAGTGTATACAGCAGATGTGTACGACATGTAGACACCTATATACAGCAGGGTATACAACAGATATGTACTACACATAGACACCTATATACAGTAGGGTATACAACAGATATGTACGACATGTAGACACCTATATACAACAGTGTATACAGCAGATGTGTACTACATGTAGACACCTATATACAGCAGGGTATACAACAGATGTGTACGACATGTAGACACCTATATACAACAGGGTATACAACAGATATGTACTACATGTAGACACCTATGTACAACAGGATATACAGCAGATGTGTACGACATGTAGACACCTATATACAGCAGGGTATACAACAGATATGTACAACATGTAGACACCAATGTACAACAGTGTATACAGCAGATTTGTACGTCATGTAGACACCTATATACAGCAGGGTATACAACAGATATGTACTACATGTAGACACCTATGTACAACAGTGTATACAGCAGATGTGTACTACATGTAGACATCTACATGCAACAGGGTATACAACAGATATGTACTTCATGTAGACACATATATACAACAGAGTATACAACAGATATGTACTACATGTACATGTAGACATCTGTATACAACAGGGAATACAACAGATATGTACTACATGTAGACATCTACATACAACAGAGTATACAACAGATATGCACTACATGTAGACATCAAATACAACAGAGTATACAACAGATATGTACTACATGTACATGTAGACATCTATATACAATATAGTATACAACAGATATGTACTACATGTACATGTAGACACCTATTTACAGCAGGGTATACAACAGATATGTACTACATGTAGACATCTACATACAACAGAGTATACAACAGATATGTACTACATGTAGACATCTACATACAACAGAGTATACAACAGATATGTACTACATGTACATGTAGACATCTGTATACAACAGGGAATACAACAGATATGCACTACATGTAGACATCAAATACAACAGAGTATACAACAGATATGTACTACTTGTAGACATCTATATACAATATAGTATACAACAGATATGTACTACATGTACACACTTATGTACAACAGAGTATACAACAGATATGTACTACATGTAGACATCTACATACAACAGGGTATACAACAGATATGTACAACATGTACACACTTATGTACAACAGAGTATACAACAGATATGTACTACATGTAGACATCTATATACAATATAGTATACAACAGATATGTACTACATGTACATGTAGACATCTATATACAATATAGTATACAACAGATATGTACTACATGTACATGTAGATATCTATATACAATATAGTATACAACAGATATGATGTACATGTAGACATCTATATACAACAGAGTATACAACAGATATGTACAACATGTACATGTAGACATCTATATACAATATAGTATACAACAGATATGTACTACATGTAGACATCAAATACAACAGAGTATACAACAGATATGTACTACATGTACATGTAGACATCTATATACAATATAGTATACAACAGATATGCACTACATGTAGACATCAAATACAACAGAGTATACAACAGATAAGTACTACATGTACATGTAGACATCTATATACAATAAAGTATACAACAGATATGTACTACATGTAGACATCAAATACAACAGAGTATACAACAGATATGTACTACATGTACATGTAGACATCTATATACAATATAGTATACAACAGATATGCACTACATGTAGACATCAAATACAACAGAGTATACAACAGATATGTACTACATGTACATGTAGACATCAAATACAACAGAGTATACAACAGATATGTACTACATGTAGACATCAAATACAACAGAGTATACAACAGATATGTACTACATGTACATGTAGACATCTACATACAACAGAGTATACAACAGATATGTACTACATGTAGACATCAAATACAACAGAGTATACAACAGATATGTACTACATGTACATGTAGACATCTACATACAATATAGTATACAACAGAAGTGATAATCCGACTGTGTTTTGAAATTGGTGATCGTCTCATTGCATAGAAGATACCTCTTACTTTGAAACTGAGGGTTTTTCAAAACACAGTAGGTTTATTTCCATTATATCATGACGGCAAGGAATCGGTAGTCTTTTGGAACGCGTAATGTCACGTGGGTAATATAGGTTAGCTGTCTAGAACATTCCGAAACGGGGTCATGTGGGTTTTTTTTTCAAAACGAAGGGATTTAATAACGATATGTATTGCACTGCTTCAACGCAACTAAGTCATTTATTGGAAATCACCATGGCACCTCCCATTACAGGAGTGATAGGTTGTAAAAATAGTTTTAAAAACTGCTGAGTTAATGCATTTCTCAGCAAATTTAATGAAACAACACTATTTTAGATATTTGTACTTATATACCAGTTGGTTTGAAATTATTTAGACCTGGCTGTACCGTTACTCGTCAGTGTCCATGTATGCCAAAATAGTTAGAACGGTAACAGTGACATTTATAAATTCCCTGGACCGATAGTATTCTGCATATATGTATAACATTAACCTGATAATATGCTGGTGGAAATGAGCATGCTGGCAAAACAATTGTCAACGGAACCAGCCTGATATATGTCTGAATACCGCCGTTTTTAGCTGCATTATAGTGAATGATTTGAGCATATCTCACTAAATAGTATGTGCTCTGAAATAGATTTCATCCTGTTTGATAAGCTATTGTGACCAACGCTTGTTCAGTGTACCAGTGAGTGAAAAGACATCTGTAAATGTTCTGATGTCGAACCTATACAGGCCTAATGGGTTACAGGCAACCGTTGTCAATTGCATCGAAATGAATGTCATCGATGTAGTCACGTGCACGTTTGTGTGTGAAAAGGCTTGATGATTTTGAATTTAATGTTATTATGACCAATCAGAATCAAGCATTGTTCGGCTTCATTGTTTAATGTACACCAGATACTTTGCTTTTAACTACTAAATTAACATGGCGCACAGGTTACCCAGGAGGACGGAGGATGGCAGGATCCCATGGTTTTGAATCGCCCTGCTTTTTATCACTGACTGGCAGTATCTTACCCTGCCTCTGGGTTTCACCAATATGGTAAATGTTCACAATCTGACATCGCTAACATCTTGCTATGGTTTCAGGTGCGATAACCGTGTCACCGGTGACAGTTGACGAGGCGGCCGGCACCGCCACAGTAACAGTCAATAACGATTTAGGAATGTCTACCGGGGCATGGGGCTTCGCGGTATGTTATCATCAAAACATCATGTTTGTACACAGATAACATGTTACTACAATATATTATGTTAAACACAAACAAAAAAGATAGATATCCACTTATATTCTTTGATACAAGATAAATATCGTGTCAGTTATTAGCGCTCCTTAATGTCAGATCTGACACCTTAGTATCCCCTAGCATTCTCCTTTGTCGCGGAATCACGAACATAGAGCATAGCATAGCAAGCTCTCCGCAGCTATATCGTAAGCATACTTATCCAATGTTGTATGTATGCGTTCATATGAGTTTGGGGGCAGAGGCGGCCCAGTCGTCTAGGGCGACGCGATTCGCTGTGCAGAGTTGCGTCCCTTGGGCACGCCAGAAACCTGTGATTGTGGGTTCCTGGTTCGCCTCAGTTATGTTTCTGGTTTTGTCAGCACCATACCCGTGCTCGTGGGTTTCTCATAAGCGGTGAACGTCTGAGACCTGCATCTCTTCGGGCTTTCTCCCACATTAAGCTGACACGCCGCGATATAACTGGAATACTTTTAAAAGCGGCGTTAAACCCAACTTGCTCACTCACTCACTCATTCAGCTATATGCGTTCTTGGATATTATGTAAATGTATGAAATGGTTGCAAAAAATGTTATTACAGCTTTTTGTAAATAATATGTATGAATCCTGTGAAGCCAATTTCTGTTGTTCCCCGCTGCGATATTGCTGGAATATTGCTAACAGCGGCGTAAAACCAAACTCACTCACTACTATGAATCCTCATTATAAATTATAACATAATGATGCACTTGACTTAAGAACATGCATCTTGTATTACAGTGGGCAACGGCCGATGGTACGGCTACTGCAGGATCGGACTACACAGCAGTAACTTCGGACACTAAAATTGTAGCTTGGCCTACCGCCACCGCAGACCTCTCAATCAGCATATTGGACGATACTGTAAGCAACACAACTACACTCACGTGTCGTGGTCTTATATAGAATTACCACTTTTATTTTAGATGACATGTTAAACTGGGTAAAACAATTTACATGTCAGGTTACTTCATCAATACTGCATTTGATTTGATGTTTTGTAAGAAGAGACCCGTGAAGATCCAGAGAAGAATATGTTTTGAGCAACCCATGTTTGCTGCAAAAGGCGACTATGCTTGTCGTAAGAGGCGACTAACGGGATCGGGTGGTCAGGCTTGCTGACTTGGTTGATGCATGTCATCGATCCCAATTGCGTGGATCGATGCTCATGATATCAATCACTGGATTGTTTGGGCCAGACTAGATTATTTACAGACCGCCATCATATAGCTTGAATATTGCTGAGTGCGGCGTTAAACAACAAACCAAAACATGTAAGTAATTATTTACTCTCGATTATTACTTTGCAGGATTTCGATCCTGGCGAGACGTTCACCGTGGATTTGACGGGCTTCTTTGGGGGAGAACCAGACATGAATGTTGTTGTAACCATCACTGATAATGAACGTGAGTACAGCGAAAACACTGTATGTTAGGGCAATGGCAGGACACAGTCTGTGAGAGCAGATTTACTGTAAATAGCTTAAGCCTCAAGTTGTAATATATAGGAAATAGGGAGATTAAGATATGAAGACTAATAACAAGTTTTTTGTAGTTAACATCATCGTGAATTAATGGACTCTTGTAAGTGTGACCCATGTGTCTTTACATGATTAACATGGAGGAACATCCAATAATATCACAGTTAAAAATATTATAATGTAGGAGTAGGGTAAGACATTGTCATGTTTACTGTAACTTAGTGACGACTATGTAGAAAGGTCCTTGTTGGAATCAGACATGACCGTTTATCAAGCTCTCAAACATTCTGCGTATATGCTCCTACATTTCTCGCTTATGAGAAATAATGTTTCTTAGAATGTTGCCCATGACATAGAGGGGTAACAGAAAAAAGGACTAAGGATGTGTTTTGACCACCTAGAATTGCACATTTCAAACATCCGCTTCCACTTTTACACATACACCTGTATGCTTTCACAAATGAGTGAGTGAGTGAGTGAGTGAGTTGTGTTTAACGCCGCTTTTAACAGTATTCCAGTTATATCGCGGCGTGTCAGCTTAATGTGGGAGGCAAGCCCGAAGTGATGCAGGTCTCAGACGTTTACCACTTTGGTGAAACCCACGAGCACGAGTATGGTGCTGACAAATCTAGAAACATAATCGGGGCGAACCGGGATTCGAACCCACAATCATAGGTTTCTGGCGTGCCCAAGGGACGCAACTATGCACAGCGAATCGCGGCGCCTTAGACGACTGGGCCACCCGTGCCCCCTTTCACAAATGAGTTTCTGCTACGTAATGACAGAAAACATAGAACTGTAGTTGAAAACAAAATGTCCGCCACCTTGGTTCGACATCTTTAACTCAACGACGTGACGTTTCTTCTCCTCATCGGTGGCAGAATAGAACTCTTCAATCTGCTCTGAAAAGCTTGAATCTGCTCTCTAGTCTGTGGACATGATTCTTTGCTAGTTTCGGTCCTGCCAGTGTCGTATCGTTACACTTCGCAGTGGTCTGTCAGCTCTGGTATTTTACCAACGCAGTCATATGGACACTGTCCATCGACTGATAGGATGACCAATGACGCTCGCCGCTGATAAACCGATTCCTCAGATGAAGGGTACGTCAGTAGCGGTATTTCTGGGATGGTGGTGACTCCTAAGGCTGTCCCCTGTCCACCCAGTCAACATGTAACGTCTATGAGCCTCGTGACTGTCATTCGGTTACTTGCCACGTGGTCACCCCCCCCCCCCCCTCTCTCTCTCTCTCTCTCTCTCTCTCTCTCTCTCTCTCTCTCTCTCTCTCTCTCTCTCTCTCTCTCTCTCTCTCTCTCTCTCTCTCTCTTTTAGCATTAATCTTGGTACTATGCTATTTGTCACTGTCAAACGGTTTAGGTGTGAATGAAAAGTACATCGTTCTTGTCATACCCGTATCTTTGTTGGGTGGTATGCAGCAACATTTTCATTTCAAACTCAATTTCAACTGATCTGGGTACTGTGGCACGTGCATTACTCAACAAGTTTTTCAACCCAAAGTGTCAAAATTCAGTTCAGTGACGTTTCTTTTACTATTGTACCCATGAAACTTATTTACTGTTGTTGACTGATCACTGCTGACGACTGTTGTAGTTTATTGTAAACACTGACAGTAATCAATGGACCATGTAGTTGGAACTTGCCACTGTTATTTGTGCTTACATAATTTACCTTGGTGGGAGTTTCTGGGATTGGCATTGAATAATTTGATCAAAATCACAACCTCTCAAGCATTGATTACATACAATAGAAGGTTCAATTCTAGTGGTCTGGGCATTTTGGCAAGTCTTCTTACTGATGGTAGCCGACATATTCTTCTACATGTTCTCGTCATTAAAACCTGTGCAGGTTTTCAGGCTGGATTTCGATTTGTGGCCATTTATTGTCATGATATGGCGGGATGGCACCTGTTCATTTAGGACGTCAAAGAAAAGTCGCATGTAGGGAGTGTTTTATCTATTTTGTCGAGACGCCTGCTTTTGGAAATAGGCTGACCATCATGGCTCCAAGTCTGGGTTCGGGAGCCACAGCGTTGTAGAACATCCTTTCTCGGCCTTGGTATCGGGCTGCTAAAAAAGCTTGACGGATCCCTTTTTGCGTCGACGTAGGTATTTCACATATGACGTCACAGGGCATATAGGGTTCTGATAAAATATGCCAGTAATGATATCAAAATGTAATGAAATTCAATCACAATCAAGGATTCGAACTGTGAAAACACGATCAACATTTGTTTTTGTAGCAGTAGCTTCCCTTTATTTCCAATTACGTGTTCTACACAGAAAAGCGTTGCAATCGCTGCAACGTTTTATCTTTATATGTATTGAAAAAGATAAAACTACATATTGTAGATTCAAATAGCTGAAAGCTGAAAATCGGGTAATAATTATTTTCCATTTCTTTAACTTTTTCTCGTACATTTTTCCCCGGGCACATTCTCGGTCGTCCTGGTTATTTTGTTGTTTGTACATCACAGCATATATAAACATACATATCACCCTCGGCTTCGGTTGCTACAGCGAGATTGGCCACCTTCAGACTTATCACTTGCTCTCCCTCTTCTGCCGAAACTTCGCATGATGTCGATAAGGACCTGCTGAATGTTTCAAATTACTTATATATGTTTTCGACGATTCCCGAAACTGACTTCCACGAATGATGTCGATGTCTATCCGTGTTTTCTCCAGGTGCCGGTGTATGCGATTGCGGTAGGTCAACAGCGTAACGTTCTTATAAATGTGCCCCCCCCCCCCCCCCCCCCCCCCCCCCCCCCCCCTCAGTTCTAGCTTCGAGATGAAATTAAGCAAGAGTTCCGGCCCAGTTCGTCGATAGAAAAGGTTTCAAACTCCCCTGATTTCTCTTTCTGCATCAGATACTCACGAAAACCTTCATCGTTGTTTAAGTAGAGCGCTTTGTGTTTTTGCATCAATATTTTCCATGATAACATTTTGTTCTTCGGTCGTAAAATCGACGAGGCGAGAAAAATTTACATCAGATTAAAACGCCATGGTTCTGTCGTCAGCAACGTTAAGAACGCCACCTGTGGCGGGATTTCCGAGCTATGTTTAGTAATATCGGACCTGGGTTTGAGTCAATATCTATTTCTGACGACGGACACGTGACTGTTTCTAGATCAATGAAAATTTCTGAATATGTGCTTTTAATGAAAGACATGTCTGTCCAATAACAGTTTTCTATATATATATATATGGCGTGTCTTCATACCTTGATAGATATTTGTATATACAGCCGTATAATGATGCTACAGCTCCATGAAGATCCGGGGTAGAACAGGTCTTCAGCAACCCATGCTTGCTGTAAAAGGTGCCCATGCTTGTCGTAAAAGGCGACTAACGGGATTCGGTGGTCAGGCTCGCTGACTTGGTTGATGCATGTCATCGATCCCAATTGCGTGGATCGATGCTTATGATTTCAATCACTGGATTGTCTGGTCCAGACTAAATTATTTAAGGACCGCCATCATATAGATGGAATATTGCTGAGTGCGGCGTTAAACAACAAACCAACCAATCAATTCTAAACATGAGTCAAAATTTCTGTTTCGATTGACTTCCGTTTTCATTACATATAATTGTATCTATTTATTCTGTGACAACCTGGTTGTACCTTGCATCTCAATCTTCTTACAGGCATCCCTCTAAACCTCACTCAGCCCGCAGCCATTACTAAACGGGAAGGAACGGGAAACGTCAGTCTGACCCTCACCTTGGACAGCGCCGCCCCCTACGACTTCAACGCAACAGTCGGCACCATGGACGGGACAGCCACAGCACCAGACGATTACGCGACCGTCACCGACAAACATGTCTCCTTTTCTGCAGGTGACACGACCGTTACCCTCACAGACCTGATATACATAAATGATGACGCGGTAAGACCAAATACTGTTCTCTTACAATATCAAATAACGCTAACTATAATATTATTTGTATATTTGTATTGTTTTCCGTCAGTCAATTAATATAGGGAGGTGAGGTGAAATGTGTGTGTGTGTGTGTGTGTGCAAAATTGTGCTTAAAATGTATTTGAATGGATCACTGACGGTCAGAGATGACACCAGGGCCCTGTTCCACAAGCAGTCGTAGCACTAAGACAATCGTAACTCCAATACTTAAACATAGACTTACGACAATCGTAGCGCTACGATCGCTTTGTGGAACGGGACCAAGGTGTTCACAATCATTCAAATCAAATGCATTCGGGGCAGAAAGTCCGTAAGGCTGGCAGCTGGTAGCTATAGGTCATTCCCTAAATAATGGACCTAATCTTTCAGCTGGCTGAACCATCGGAGACCTTCGACATCATCATATACAGTGTCGACCTCGCGGGCAACTACACTGCCGTCGTCACAATCGAGGATGATGACAGTGAGTCCTGGTAGTCTACGATGTGCATTAACACCTGTGGGTGCGGTAAATAGGAGATGCTGTGCTGTTGTAGTGCTGTTGGTGTTGGCGTTGTTGTGATGGAAATAATGATATCAGTGGTGACAGTTGTGACGACAGAAGTAAAGTGAATGTAGCCAATCAAAATATTGTATTCCCTTGGCATGATATTATAATTACCATACTGCCCTCGTCAGTGTATTGACTAGTTTACTCTTACATACATTTCTCATGAAGACGGGCCGACTGGGATTCTAGAGATTCGGGTTTAAGTAGAATATCAAGTTATATATCATTTACTCAGGCTACTTATATTATTTGCTACTTATATTATATATTTCAGCTCCTGTCAACTCTCATTGTAAACGCCAGGGTCAAACTTGTCTGAATGGTGGAACGTGTGACGACACTTCAGGGATGTGCGCCTGTCCCGCTGACCGTACAGGACCCAACTGTGCTCATTTGATAGGTGAGTTGATTTTTGAGTAATATTTCTGTGACAGTGATATATATGTATTTCCGATAAATTTTAAAATACCTTACATATCCATGGGCGAGATATTTGTCAAGATGACTTGGTCGAGTTCATCTTGCATATGTCAGATCACTAGGACGGTCAAGTTTTGTCCCAACAGCAATCCATGTAGAATTGACAAAACATTTGTTAAAAGGCAAAATTATAGTTTATGTGTCTGAAAGTAATATTATCGGACCAGAGTGTGGTGGTACGTCTAAGGTAGGTGCCTTTGCATAGAGGATACATATCACTGTGTAGGTACCAACTGGAACAGCAATTGGTTTATGTGTTTGGTGCCTCTTTGAACACTAATATTAGCTGAGGTTTTTTTGATAAGCCTACCTTTTGTGTCTGTTGTTCATTTTATTGGGATTTGATTCTCTCACAACAGCTAATTTGCGACATGTTGTTTTAGTCATTCCAGATCTTCATAAAGTCTTTGCTCTTATCAAACAGGGGCGGTCGGGTAGCCTAGTGGTTCCCGATTCCCCATTTCAGGTGTCCCAAGCCGTGGTATTTCTGGAATATTGCTAAAAGCGGCGTAGAACCATACTCACACACTCTTATCAAATTATTTCATATCTATGTCGTTATTCTTTAACGATTATGAGTTTTGTTTCAGCCGATTTGCAAACGCCCTGCGACAATAGCACCTGTGTTCATGGCATCTGTCTGACTGGACCCCCAGCAGCTTGTGTGTGTAATCCGGGATATGCTGGGGCAATGTGCGACAACAAAGCTTGTGAGTTACATCGTTATATTGTTCTCTTCTTTATCAAAGAATGTTGAAAGATTACATGCCAAATAACACGTGTTTATGCTTCCTTGTATTTGTCTAATTAGGAAGTTGTCAGACTCAATTGTAGTGTTTGCATTTGGAGTTGAGATGAGGGTTTTACTTCGCGTTCATGACTATTGCATTTATATAACGTCGTGTGTGTGTGTGTGTGTGTGTGTGTGTGTGTGTGTGTGTGTGTGTGTGTGTGTGTGTGTGTGTGTGTGTGTGTGTGTGTGTGTGTGTGTGTGTGTGTGTGTGTGTGTGGTCATTTTGGCCCCTTAATGCCGAGCTCCAGGCAGGATAACAGCAAGTACCATCTTTTAACGTCTTTTGGTATGATGCGGCCTGGAAATATTGGTGCAATGTGCGACATCAAAGCTTGTGAGTTACATCCATCTCATTAATGAGCCAATGCAGTACATGTGTATCAATGTAACTTATCATAGTAACCATGTCACAATGGCTTCTACATTATGTCTGTTGTTGAACATACACACACGTCTTTTGACGTAATGACTAGCGGTTATCTTTACGCTAATATCATTTGATAATAAATAAAAGCGATAAAACCCTTTCCATTTTCGTCATTGCACGATTAAGAGCCTATCATGTTCATGAATCACTATCACATTATGATGAAGCAATACTTCAAAATTATTTTCTGCATTTACTGTTCTCTTATTCAAACGTGTGTCATTAATGTTGATCCCCCTTCCACCACAGACTACCATCAGTGTAACCCCAACAACATCAGCGTCTGTATTACTCCTTTCTCCCACGACACCTTCGTTGGTAAGATCTACGTCCAGGGCATGAGAGACACCGTCGGCTGCAACCTCACTCTCGCACCAAACACAGCTGATCCTAGTGACGGCATCGCCGACTGGTGTCAGGGCTATGCTGGGATATTCGAATACAACGGCACCTGTGGAGAACTTGGGCCAATTCCAGAGGTGATTGTCCCCTTCTTTATCGAAGAAATAACTTTCATGGATTTATGCCAACATCAAAGAATGTTGAAAGATTACATGCCAAATAACACGTGTTTATGCTTCTTGCATTTGTCTAATTAGGAAGTTGTCAGACTCAATTGTAGTTTTTGCATTTGGAGTTGAGATGAGGGTTTAACTTCGCTTTCATGATTATTGCATTTATATAACGACGTGTGTGTGTGTGTGTGTGTGTGTGTGTGTGTGTGTGTGTGTGTGTGTGTGTGTGTGTGTGTGTGTGTGTGTGTGTGCATTTTGGCCCCTTAATGCCGAGCTCCAGGCAGGATAACAGCAAGTACCATCTTTTAACGTCTTTTGGTATGATGCGGCCCGGAATCGAACCCACGACCTTCAACTCTCCGGGCAGTTTGGTTTTTTTATTAAATGCACCAAGGGACATGAGAAGCGCAGTCGTTAGAAGTCACCACGATTCACTGTGCAGAGTTGCATCCTTTATTTGTGTCCGACTCTGCTGATAATCAGTTCAGATCACAGATTGGCACCAGTGTAATCTTTTGTTTATCAGCATTATTTTTATTCTCGTAGGTTCATCAAAGTGGTAATCATCTTAGAGAAATAAGCTCAAAACTAACTCACCCGTGAAGATCCGGGATAGATAAAAATCTTGAGCAACCAATAGTTGCCGCAAATTGCGACTATCTTGTAATCTTGTATCAGGCACGCTGACTTGGTTGATGTCATCGTATTCCAATTGCGTGTATCGATGTTCATGATGTCAATCACTGGGTTGTCTGGTCCAGACTCAATTATTTATAGACCGCCGTCATATAGCTCGAATATTGCTGAGTGCGGCGTTAAACAACAAACAAACAAACACTCAGTGACTGTCTGTGTTCTCCAGGGTGATTTAAAGAAGTACGAGCTGAAACTTGACGTACGCTACTCTCCTGGTATTAGGAAATCCACTGATGAGGAAGTGACCTTCAAATGTTCTTTCAACGATGCCGAGGTAGTTGTGGATTCCCCAGCTCAAGCTATCAACACGGGAAGGTGAGCCAATACATTGTACCACAGTCATCATTGACAACGTCTAACATTTCCTCATACACATGCTCTCTGACTCATGCGGCTTGATTTGGGGTCAAATTAGGTTTAACGTTGCGTCCATGATTATTGCACTCAAAGCGACATGCATGCACGTGTGTGTGTGTGTGTGTGTGTGTGTGTTGCTGATTGTACTATAGTGCTAGCCCTCAGTTTAACATGAATATCCCCACAGTCATGGACATTATTTTGACTCCAAACCGACCAGACCTTGTTTTAGCCCCTAAATGCCGAGCGCCAGACAGGGTGACAACCAGTGCCATCCTTTAACGTCTTTTGGTATGACGCGGCAGGGGATCGAACCCCGGACCTTCCGCTCTCCGGGCGGACGCTCTCCCACTAGACCACGGAGGCGGTCCATGCGGCTTGAGAGAGACAACGCTTCTCGGTACACGTACATCAGGGACCAGAACGTTTCAGACCGAAACCGACTTCATTGTTTGAATTCCATATTCGTCCTCAATATGATCCTTGGTCTATCGGTGTTAAACCCGTACCTGTTGATTTAACCACACTCATGCGACCTGTGGCATTCACACTTTAAACTGTGAAAACTGAAATATTGCCAATTGATAACCAACTTAAGCATCGTTTGCGTTTATGGAAGAGTACACAACGGTTTTTATGTTTATACGTCCAAAAAACACAAAAACGTATTGAAGTTAATTCTTATAAGTAAATATGTCAATAACAATAATTTCACGGACTGTTAATTTAATCATTAACACAAAAACACTGTAGACAACAATACGAACACAACACTGAGGGCAATAATGCAACGTTACAAAAGCCCCACCCATTCCTTTATCAGACGATCAAGAAACAGTAGTCCGTTAGTCGGCGTGGCACAACTGTTTTTCTGTGTATCGAATCATAAACGCAGAAAATAGCTACGACAATCGTAGCCACTATACTTTCACATATACCTACGACAGTCGTAGTTGTAGATGGACAGCGGAATGCAGTTGTTTATCAGTTCATCAATCGGTTTAAATGCCCATGAACAGCAGTAAGAGGCGATGGAGTAGAATAGCTCGTTCGTAACGCTGAAGTCCGGTTTTCGAATCACCACATATGTTCAATATGTGAAGACCTGTCTTGATGTCCTGTCGATATATTGCCTCTTATCGTTGTAATCATTGCACCAATAGTTCTGGTGGTGGAACCAAGAATGGAGGCAGCGATACCCTCACCCCCGCAGCACAGACCGTCGTTACTGCTGATGGGGGTCCTATCCTGGGACCCGTCACGGCGGGAGACCCACTGCAGACATGCGTCACCGTGCAAGGATGTAAGTGCGCCCACTTATCATCATCCTTGCTGGGGCTGTGGTCCTAAAGTGAATAAATGGTGTTCAATATTTGTGTACACCTGCGTAATGTAAAATATTTTTAGAATCGCCGAGTTGTCGAATGCATCTTTATCAACCGAAATTTTATACAATTGCTGTGGCTGCCTTATAAAACAGATTGGAATCATCATGTGAGCTGGCACCCCTTATCAAAGTGTAACAATGACAGTAGTGAATATTATTCTTGGTATTTGATACATTTACATATTTAAAGTGTGTTTTCATTTCTACATGTCTGATTCTCTTCAGTGGACAACTTCAATGGAATTGTCATCAAAAACATCACTATCAACAACAATAGGACCGCTCCAGATTACAGGGAAATGTTGGTGTACGATGGCGGGTAAGTGGAAGGAGTCCAGTTACAGGAAAAGGAAGTAGAGATTGTCACAGTGGTGTAGTTACAGATATAGGAAGTAGAGATTGTCACAGTGGTGTAGTTACAGATATAGGAAGTAGAGATTGTCACAGTGGTGTAGTTACATATATAGCAAGTAGAGATTGTCACAGTGGTGTAGTTACAGATATAGGAAGTAGGGATTGACACAGTGATGTAGTTACAGATATAGGAAGTAGGGATTGACACAGTGATGTAGTTACAGATATAGGAAGTAGAGATTGTCACAGTGGTGTTGTTACAGAGATAGGAAGTAGTGATTGACACAGTGATGTAGTTACAGATATAGGAAGTAGGGATTGACACAGTGGTGTTGTTACAGATATAGGAAGTAGGGATTGACACAGTGGTGTAGTTACAGATATAGGAAGTAGGGATTGACACAGTGGTGTTGTTACAGATATAGGAAGTAGGGATTGACACAGTGATGTAGTTACAGATATAGGAAGTAGTGATTGACACAGTGATGTAGTTACAGATATAGGAAGTAGAGATTGTCACAGTGGTGTAGTTACAGATATAGGAAGTAGAGATTGTCACAGTGGTGTAGTTACAGATATAGGAAGTAGAGATTGTCACAGTGGTGTAGTTACAGATATAGGAAGTAGAGATTGTCACAGTGGTGTAGTTACAGATATAGGAAGTAGAGATTGTCACAGTGGTGTAGTTACAGATATAGGAAGTAGGGATTGACACAGTGATGTAGTTACAGATATAGGAAGTAGAGATTGTCACAGTGGTGTTGTTACAGATATAGGAAGTAGTGATTGACACAGTGATGTAGTTACAGATATAGGAAGTAGGGATTGACACAGTGGTGTTGTTACAGATATAGGAAGTAGAGATTGTCACAGTGGTGTAGTTACAGATATAGGAAGTAGAGATTGTCACAGTGGTGTAGTTACAGATATAGGAAGTAGAGATTGTCACAGTGGTGTAGTTACAGATATAGGAAGTAGAGATTGTCACAGTGGTGTAGTTACAGATATGGGAAGTAGAGATTGTCACAGTGGTGTAGTTACAGATATAGGAAGTAGAGATTGTCACAGTGGTGTAGTTACAGATATAGGAAGTAGAGATTGTCACAGTGGTGTAGTTACAGATATAGGAAGTAGAGATTGTCACAGTGGTGTAGTTACAGATATAGGAAGTAGAGATTGTCACAGTGGTGTAGTTACAGATATAGGAAGTAGAGATTGTCACAGTGGTGTAGTTACAGATATAGGAAGTAGAGATTGTCACAGTGGTGTAGTTACATATATAGGAAGTAGAGATTGTCACAGTGGTGTAGTTACAGATATAGGAAGTAGGGATTGACACAGTGATGTAGTTACAGATATAGGAAGTAGGGATTGACACAGTGATGTAGTTACAGATATAGGAAGTAGAGATTGTCACAGTGGTGTTGTTACAGAGATAGGAAGTAGTGATTGACACAGTGATGTAGTTACAGATATAGGAAGTAGGGATTGACACAGTGGTGTTGTTACAGATATAGGAAGTAGTGATTGACACAGTGATGTAGTTACAGATATAGGAAGTAGGGATTGACACAGTGGTGTTGTTACAGATATAGGAAGTAGGGATTGACACAGTGATGTAGTTACAGATATAGGAAGTAGTGATTGACACAGTGATGTAGTTACAGATATAGGAAGTAGGGATTGACACAGTGGTGTTGTTACAGATATAGGAAGTAGGGATTGACACAGTGGTGTTGTTACAGATATAGGAAGTAGGGATTGACACAGTGATGTAGTTACAGATATAGGAAGTAGTAATTGACACAGTGATGTAGTTACAGATATAGGAAGTAGGGATTGACACAGTGGTGTTGTTACAGATATAGGAAGTAGGGATTGACACAGTGGTGTAGTTACAGATATAGGAAGTAGTGATTGACACAGTGATGTAGTTACAGATATAGGAAGTAGGGATTGACACAGTGATGTAGTTACAGATATAGGAAGTAGGGATTGACACAGTGATGTAGTGACAGATATAGGAAGTAGTGATTGACACAGTGATGTAGTTACAGATATAGGAAGTAGGGATTGACACAGTGGTGTTGTTACAGATATAGGAAGTAGGGACTGTCACAGTGATGTAGTTACAGATATAGGAAGTAGAGATTGTCACAGTGGTGTTGTTACAGATATAGGAAGTCGAGATTGTCACAGTGTTGTTGTTACAGATATAGAGAGTAGCGATTGACACAGTGATGTAGTTACAGATATAGGAAGTAGTGATTGACACAGTGGTGTAGTTACAGATATAGGAAGTAGGGACTGACACAGTGGTGTTGTTACAGATATAGGAAGTAGGGACTGACACAGTGGTGTAGTTACAGATATAGGAAGTAGGGATTGTCAGAGTGGTGTAGTTACAGATATAGGAAGTAGTGATTGACACAGTGATGTAGTTACAGATAGAGGAAGTAGTGATTGACACAGTGATGTAGTTACAGATATAGGAAGTAGGGATTGACACAGTGATGTAGTTACAGATATAGGAAGTAGGGATTAACATAGTGGTGTAGTTACAGATATAGGAAGTAGGGATTGTCACAGTGGTGTTGTTATAGATATAGGAAGTAGGGATTGTCACAGTGGTGTTGTTACAGATATAGGAAGAAGAGACTGTAACAGTGATGTAGTTACAGATAAAGGAAGTAGGGATTGTCACAGTGGTGTTGTTACAGATATAGGAAGTAGTGATTGTAACAGTGGTGTAGTTACAGATATAGGAAGTAGAGATTGTCACAGTGGTGTTGTTACAGATATAGGAAGTAGAGATTGTCACAGTGGTGTTGTTACAGATATAGGAAGTAGAGATTGTCACAGTGGTGTTGTTACAGATATAGGAAGAAGAGATTGTAACAGTGATGTAGTTACAGATATAGGAAGTAGGGATTGTCACAGTGGTGTTGTTATAGATATAGGAAGTAGAGATTGTCACAGTGGTGTTGTTACAGATACAGGAAGTAGGGATTGTCACAGTGATGTAGTTACAGATATAGGAAGTAGAGATTGTCACAGTGGTGTTGTTATAGATATAGGAAGTAGAGATTGTCACAGTGGTGTTGTTACAGATATAGGAAGAAGAGATTGTAACAGTGATGTAGTTACAGATATAGGAAGTAGGGATTGTCACAGTGGTGTTGTTACAGATATAGGAAGTAGGGATTGTCACAGTGGTGTAGTTACAGATATAGGGAGTAGAGATTGTCACAGTGATGTAGTTACAGATATAGGAAGTAGGGATTAATACAGTGATGTAGTTACAGATATAGGAAGTAGGGATTGTCACAGTGGTGTAGTTACAGATATAGGAAGTAGAGATTGTCACAGTGATGTAGTTACATATATAGGAAGTAGTGATTGTCACAGTGGAGTAGTTACAGGTATAGGAAGTAGGGATTGTCACAGTGGTGTTGTTACAGATATAGGAAGAAGAGATTGTAACAGTGATGTAGTTACAGATATAGGAAGTAGGGATTAATACAGTGATGTAGTTACAGATATAGGAAGTAGAGATTGTCACAGTGATGTAGTTACAGATACAGGAAGTAGTGACTGACACAGTGGTGTAGTTACAGATATAGGAAGTAGGGATTGACACAGTGATGTAGTCATATGGGCAGTAAAAGTGAATGTCACAGTGATGTAGTTAGACGGGCAGTAAGAGTGAATGTCACGGTGTTGTAGTTAGATGGGCAGTAACAGTGAATGGTACAGTGATGTAGCTTTAGAGACAGACAACAAAGATTGTCACGTCGGTAAGAAAACAGAGATTATCACTGTATTGCTCGTAGATGGGTAGATACGAAGCACATCTGATGTAATGTTATAGGTCAGAGATAGCAGGGGGCAGGATTGGGACAGGGGCGGATTGTCCTGGAGAAATAGGAAACTGAGGCAACGGGAGGTATGGGAAACAGATTTCATAGTTGGAGTCAAAGGTGTGTGTCAAATAAATAAATAAATAAAGATTGTGGTGATAATAGGCGGGTACAGAGTATATATAAGTAATGTTACAATACTTATTTACTCGATACATAATGAACATTCATATTATATTACCGTTTTCAGCTGCGATGTATCTGGTGCTGGGTTAGTGACCACACTCCCTGCCTACAAGCCTCCTACTGAGAAACACACACTGTGTTTTATGCTGGAAAGTTTCACCTTTGAGCACGATGATGGTTTAACCAACCCTGCCCTGGGGATTGTCAGCGTCGTCCAAGTGTTTGGTTTGGCTGCGGATGCCACCCAGGTAACGATATACTATGTTTGACAAACGCTGCTTAGTCAGAATATTGGTCAAAAGAGCATATGAAAAAAATCATCAGGGCTTTCATGTCGGTGTTTCTGTCACATGAGTCAAAGAATGCGTGGTATAACTAACTACCTGTATCTCTGGGTATTCATGCCTCACTTTCTCTCGCATAATGAAAAATCTGAGGGGTATTCATGATTATATCCCTATCTGTGTTACATGAGTCAAAGAACAAGGGGTATTATTACCCATATCTCCGTCATACTAGTCAAAGCTTTCGAGGAATCCATACAAATATATCTGCCACATGAGTCAAAGCTCTAGGGGCATTAATCCCCATATTTCTGCCAAGCGAGTCAAATCATTCAGTGTGTTCACACTCATAGATTTGTTACATGAAAGGAAATTACACCTTTTCGACAACTGTCTAGAGACTTGCATTTACCAATCACTATCGACGTACAGTAATACCAGCAGGAGTTCCCACGTGATTTGGGCATGGTATGGTCGTGAACACCAAGCCTCATTTAGAACAATAGCATAGAGAACAATAACATATATGCTTGATGATTCAATGTATAAAAAAAGTAAAATTGAACAGAAAGGAAAACAATATGTCACATGCATGCTTCATTGAATGAGTACATGTATCGCAGTACACAGGTGTCGCAAATATTGAGGTATTAATAGTATTGTTTTATTTTAATATTTTCCATTTATCAAACACATTCTGTTTCCAGCCCGGATGTGTCCGCAGAAGAAAGAGAAACACTGAGGGCACAAATGCAACGCCCAGCGGGATTTCTCAGGAGGAAGAGCTTACCTCTGTTGTCTACCTTGTCAGATCCAAAACCCTTCAAAGTACGTGGAACCTTCTTCAATATTGATCAAAATATGTTCAGTCCCTTTCATGATACAAGTGCAAAATTGTAAATAATGTTACCCACCTTGGTGGCCTAGGATATCAGCAAATAGCATCGATGAAACATGTAAAAACATATTAAACGAAAAAAACAGAATCATGACAAATTCATTTTTGCAGTTTGGGGTAATCATATTTTGAAATATCAAATTCGAATTGTCTAATTGCCTCCTTATTGTTCTCTCTTCTCATTTGTACAATGTGTAAAACACTTTTGGTGACATTAATTGAGACATTTATCTTCATGATGCTTCATTCACTCACTCTGATATTTCCAGGCACCAGTTCCCAGGAAACTACGTGTGCCAAAGAATGGTTATTGCCCGCCATGATCGGCCTCGGCATCGTCACCATCACTATGGCTGTCGTCATCATCGTCCTCGTCTACACTGTCATCAGACAGTTCAAGGGAAAGCAAATCGCATAGACTCAGCATCGCGGCTAGTAACACCAAACACATCTGACTATCAATATGTTACTGTAAACATACTCCATTTCTTTCAAAACGCTTCAAATCCAGAAACTAATTTTAGAACATTTATTAAAAACAATATATATTAAAATAAAGAATAAGGATGAACTTTTAAAAAATTAAATTACCAACGTAATATCCTCTACAGGCAACTGTAGAAAAATGTTGATGACTCCAATGACCCTGCCACGAAATCCAACTTGAGGTGAATATTGCACCTTAAGACACGAGTAATGAACCATTTGCAGGGGTTTGCACTATTCTACTGACATTTGGATTGATTGCTTATTAACAATGTCTGGAAATGTGTAGGAAAGTGATTTTTCGAACAGAATATGTAACACTTTGCTATTTCACCGATGTGATTTAGGAAAGTAACAAAATTATTTTTACGGTAGAAGAATGCGAATAACTGCAGGTGTACCAAACTGGACCAAATGCAGTCGTATCAGTTGATGGATTTATGCTGTCAACATGACACGGTGACACATGTGAAAGGTTTTCTCTATACTTTCAGCAAGATCATACTGTACCATATATCTGATAAGTACGCACTGTCAGACTTACTTTGGTTGTATTTGTGTCCTACAATAAAATTCGAGCATATTACATTCGTCTTTTCTTATTTGTTACTGAATGTATCTCCTACAGCTGCCTTGTGCTGGTTATAAAAGTACTAACTATTCTACATTCCTGTTCCCTTCCCTGTATTTCGCACCGTTCTGATATTTATATATCATTCATGATTGCAAATTACAATACTTCAGTAATTCATTTTTAAGTCGGGGGCACGGGTGGCCCAGTCGTCTAAGGCGCCGCGATTCGCTGTGCAGAGTTGCGTCCCTTGGGCACACCAGAAACCAATGATTGTGGGTTCGAATCCCGGTTCGCCTCAATTATGTTTCTAGGTTTGTCAGCACCATACCCGTGCTCGTGGGTTTCACCGAAGTGGTAAACGTCTGAGACCTGCATCACTTTGGGCTTTCCTCCCACATTAAGCTGACACGCCGCGATATAACTGTAATACTGTAAAGAGCGGCGTTAAACCCAACTCACTCACTCACTCATTTTTAAGTGATTAGAGAAATTTTGATATCAATAAAGAGTTTTGGTTTGTTTGTTTGTTTGTTGTTATAACGCCGCACTCAGCAATTTTCCACCTATATGACGGCGGTCTGTAAATAATCGAGTGTGGACCAAAAATCAAGTGATTGACATCATGAGCATCGGTCCACGCATTTGGGTAGATGACATGCATCAACCAAGTCAGCGGGCCTGACAACCCGATCACGTTAGTTGCCTCTTACCAGGCCAACAAACCTGATCTTGTCCTTTTTGATAAAGCCAATGGAATTATTCATATTACTGGATTTTCTGTCCCTTTTGACACTAATGTCATTGACAAGATTCAGGGAAAACAAGACAAATATTCGGATCTCGCTTTCGAAATGTCACGCTTTCATCCCAAGTACCAAGTTGTCCAACTCTCCATTGTCCTCGATGCCTTAGGTTTGGTACCTCCCAATCTGTTGACTGATATTGGGAGTACCCGGGTTTGATACCAGGAATACAGCCCTTCTGACATCTGGGTAATGCAGAAGGCTGCAGTTTTGGGGAGTCTTCACATTCTCCGAAAAGTTCTGGGTGGGTTTGACCATGCAGCGCTTCCTCGGGGAAGTTCCATTCGCTGTCTGGACTGCGTGTAGAGGGGGGCAAGGGCTCTGAGCTGATGGTGAGCCTAACCAACCTGACTGTGCCAGGTTCACGCAAACCCTCTTTGCAAACCCTTTTTTTATTTTAATCTGTACATGATAATAATAATCAATAACGCCATTTCCGTCATAAATCTGATGCCTACCAGACCCTGAACTTTACAGCACTTGGTGACCTTTGGTATTTTGCTTAATAATTGATATTCCCTGCTTTTGAAAGTATTTCATTATCTCCTTTAATAATCATATTCATAATTAGAAAACGTTTCATAGACTTTACTATACTTCTTCATGTTACAGAATTCCTTCTAGTGGGTGTTTTGGGATTTGTTGTTACCTACATCTCCCAAGAAACCTAACTTGTGTCTAAGACTTGTCCATGTTCACAAATTAGACACAAACTACTTAAAACCTCAGAAATAATTTTGGCAAACATCTGGTGTTGTTATACTGTGGGACCGCCTCCGCGGACTGCGGACTAGTGGTAGATCGTCCTCCCGGAGAGCGGAAGGTCGGTGTTCGATCCCCGGCCGAGTCACACCAAAAGACGCCAAAAGATGGTTACCCTAAAACAAGGACTGGTCGGCTGGGAGTCAGTATACTGTGTTTCAGTGGGGTAGTCATGTTAAACTGCAGCATGGTATCTCAGTGGGTTGAAAAACTATAAATTCGGCATTAGTCTGGACTAGTACAAGCAGACACACCCGCATGCACGCGCGCACGCGCATGCACGTCGCTATATAAGTGCAATAATAACCTCATTAGTGCGATAAACTTCATTTCACCTCACCTCACCTAGTAAAAGTCTAGAGAATCTGTTGAAAAACATGAGGACTAATTCCCATTTATATGAACCTATCAGATAAATTGTGACATTTTCTAAAAGGTATGCTCATTTAATAATCTTTCCTTGCCTCGTCTTTTGACCGATGATGGTAAAGCTACAGTCACACAGACAAAGCGACCGCGATGCAACCTCTTGGCGACTGATTTCTTTTGCGACCGACTGGCGATCGCTGAGACCGGTGCAACTACTTCCGCCCATATTTGGAATAAGGGTATGATCGCCGATCAATCAGCGATAGGTTTTGCAACTTGTCAGTGATCGATCGGCAACTGTTCACCGCAGATACGCGAAATGTTTGCAACTAGTTGAGACCGATCGGTGACAAGTCAGCGAATCGTCGGGGACTTGTTGCAACTGAACGGGGACTGGTCGGTGACTAGTTGTCGATCGATCACCGATCAAAACATATTGCATATAAAAAGGGTGTTTTTCTGAATCAAATCATTTCTTTGCAACTTGTCACCGATGAAGCGCCGTTTGATCACCGTCTCATCACTGATCAATCCCAGATAGGTTGCAAAGAGTCGACGAGTAGGCGAAACCGATCGCCGCAGGGGGAAAGCAATCTGCGTTTGCAATAACACAATTTGGGGACCTCTGGAAGACCAATTAAACTCTCCGAGCGACCAAATCGGTTGCAGCCAGTCTTTTGTGCATGTTCAAAAGACTGCTTGCGACTGAATGGGTTTTGCGACTGCTCTGAAACCTTGTAGCGATCTCAGTAAAACCTTTCAGAGACCCCTGGAACCCCATTGCGATGCGATTATCAAATATTATTGGTCGCAAGGAGGTTGCATTGCGGTCGCATTGTCTGTGTGACTGAGGCTTAAATAAATGATACAACAAAAGCTACGGATCAGCATTCCGTGGACCCTGTGGTTCCCGCTACAATCTAAGATAAATGCACACTCACGCAATTCATGTGAGTTGAGTTCAAACGCCATATGCAATATTTCAAATATGTCACTACGAACCAGCACAATTTAGATGCAGCTCTCACAGTCTTAGGATAACACAGCGAGAGAATTGAGAATTTGTGAGCAATGTGATTTAAATGTGATTGAAAATGAGTTTCATTTTCTGTAAGTTTGTCTAAAATACAACTGTTAATTCTACAAAATTCAAACATCAAATGTGAAGAAGGCAAAATTAACCACTGGTTAAAAATGGTTCACCTTGGTGATGGTAATGAACAAAACAAGTCATGCATTGCAACCATCCTGTCCTCAGTAATCGGTAACCATGCCTGGGGTTCGACATTAAGAGTCTAAAACAAGGACTAGTCGGCTCGGAGTCAGTATACTGTGTCTGAGTGGGGCATCCATGTTAAAATGCGGCATGGTATCTCAGTAGGCTGGAACCCTAAGCCGACATTAGTCCGGACTATTACAAGCATCGCACATACACACACGCACGCACGCACGCACGCACGCACACACGAACGCACACACACACGTGCATGTACGTCGCTATAAAAGTCCAGTCATCTTAACTGCGCCATTAAACCCCAATTTCACCTCACCTTATCTATCTGCTCTGAAGACAGACGTTGGGCACATATTCTGACCTTCTACATGTATGTCCACGAGCGCAACACACGTTTGGTAGGAGCCAAGTTCAACAAAACAGGTTCATTCATTTTACATTGATGTATCAATTAGTAGACAAGAAATGGCAGATTGGTTCAGATCAATCACCCAAAGTCCGTATATTTCTCCAAACCAGGTTTTCGCTTTGGAATATTTGTCAATGGATCTGTAATCGTAGTAACGCTTTTCATTGATATTTCAATTGGCTAAAAGCAATTAAATAGTGTCTTTTAACCGAAATAAAATTTCTTTTTGTGGCGCGATGTACATAGTGATAAGCATCACGCAACTCGCTGGCAAGAGACAGGGCGGATGCCGGGTAAACATGCATCAACGCGTCTGTTTACGACGTCCAGATCGTTTCCATGCTGGATTCTGTACCATACAATATGCACAGGCGTACCCATGGGTTTAAAAAACACTCACCTACATTTCGTGTATTCATTCTACATAGAAAAAAAACAAGATAATATTCAAAACTTTCCACAAAAGCGGTTTCCTACCTTCATAAAAGCTGATTTTCTATGTCACCCCATTGTACGTAGAGTCAAAAGTCGTGTTATTATAGCAATCAAAAAATGTTCTACATACACAAAATGGCTATGAAATCCCACATTCGTGAAAGGCGACACCGACAGTTACCCGAATTGCAGCATAATGCATCAAACGACGACATGGTATGGATGACCATGTACACAATACACCAGAGACGTACAGTCACTACTGAAAGAAGTTCACAGTCTTTTCTTTGTAAGGGAACCATATTCAGCTTGATGTTTGACTACACGAGGGTTTGCAGACCACTAAAACTGCCTGGACGTGAGTATTAAGTAAGTATTAAGAATAAAGTATCTCAGACACAGAAGAATGCTACTACAGTAAACTACGGTTATAACGAACACGCTTATAACAAACTGACGGATATAACGAACTTACCTTTTGGTCCCGACTACTTGCTGTAGTCATGCTGTATATGTACTTATAACGAACTACGGTTATAACGAACTAAAATTAGTAGTCCCTTTGAGTTCGTTATAACCGTACTTTACTGTACTTAAATTCCCACAGTGGCCAAATAAAGTATTGAATGTATTTGAACATTCAAAGAACTGTTATTAAATTTGATTATATCTATATTTTTTTAACCATCACTCATTCCTGCAACAGTTAGTTATAAAGTAATCTGTACTGGGTAAAATAGGTTCACTGAAGACCTGGGTAAGAAATGAATTTGCAACCACCTGACGCTAACATGTTTGAAATGTTAATTTGTGCCGAAGAAAGCAAATATATTGATTTTCAAAGATGGGTTACGGAGATGTCCATCAGCAGTTGTGTATTATGCGAAAAATCAAATTATAGTTATTAAAATAAAACCATGTAGAAGTATTCTTTGAGTGCTGACTAAGCACCAGTACAGTTCATTCTTCGGATATACTATCGCTAACTTAATATATTTTCAAATGAAACACAAACATAATTATGATAAAATCAGCTGATCGGTATAGTTTCCCTTGCTCCTCTGTTTAGGACAAACCATACCAACTGACACTCAGACTCGATCAATGGAACAATATTAACATACATGTAGTCTTTCATAGCGACCATAGGATCTCCTTCTTCAAATAATAATTTATGGTCAGACCAGCGGAGTCTGCATCGTGTAATCTTATAAACCTGAACCTTAACTAACGATAAATAGTCCACAATTGTAATATCTAATTCTATATAATAATTCTTACTAAGAAAACCGAGTAATACTTTCAAACCACATCTCACTGGCAATAGCAATAATTCATCCATCTCTGAACATGGCTAAAAGGGTTGTTATGCAACCAATCTTTATTGATCCAGATATAACAAAAACCATAAAGCATTTTTTTTAAACTGGCCCAGATCTTTCGAAACAAAATTAAATGGAAAATAAAAGAGGAAACTTTGGTGGCGCTTAATGCGTAAGTGATTGTGCGTTGATTGAAAATTAGCATACAGTCAAACACCGTTGTGTTGAAGTTGAAGGGTTTGTTTGTTTGTTTGTTTGTTTGTTTGTTTGTTTGTTTGTTGTTTAACGCCGCACTTGGCAATATTCCAGCTATATGACGATGGTCTGCAAGAAAAAGTGATTTTATAAAAAAAAAAAAATTAAATCATTATATATTTGGACATTATTTAGGAACTGGTCATTTATTACAGGGAGGGGGGTATTAAAATGTGTCACATGTATTTTGGGTGGATGGGTTCATGACAAATTGTTACATAAAATGTGGGTGTCGGCAAAATATGATACAGCCTTAAGACCAAAACCACCACACCCATAATGTATTACCAGTCACTGATGACGAACAGTCAACAACAAGATATTCATTTGTATGTGTCACGTTTATTGGCAGCATCAAAACACGATGGTGGCTCAAAAGTTGACAGGAATAGTTCTCCCGACTGTGATTGTTAACATTTCTGTATCTGTACGCGTAGTTTTATAGATAGTTGTAAAAGACACTTGAACAACACGCCTTGTTTCCAGCAGAAAAGTCCTCCAACATTAGACGACAAATAACACCACACGCGATTTGATCATGCGATTTACATCATAACAAAATCAATACCAGCGACTTGAGAGTGACAATAAAAACTGTTCTCTGCCCCTCCCACCTCATACTCGTCATTCACACACGTGTGGGAAAGTCTTCAAATGAGGGTTTTAGCCTCTTACCGACACTGACATCCTAGAGCCACACTTGAAGACTACACTCCCATTCGTAAAGGAAACTATTTCGAACTGGTGTCACGGTAAGATCCAAGCTACTTCCTTGTATCACTATGCGTTTTCTCATTAATTTGAACACATTTTAATTTTAAAATACAAAATATTGAAATGTTATGACACATGAATGTGCATTGACATACAAAACCTCCGTTTCAAATTCGTTTCTTTAGTCTGAGATAAAAGCAAATTAAGCATCTCTTGCTATTTTTAAGAGATTGGTGCTATGTTTTCTGAATCGTTCCATCGATTACAAATCGTATATTAATCAGCATGCATAATAATGGATTTATCGTACCATCGTAACAGTGAGGACACAGATCAAAGCATACCCTAGTTTATGGGATTTTTCGCTGTACAATTTAACAACCTTACAGCAGGTATGTTACCTTACTTCTTAGGGACCGCCTCCGTGGTCCAGTAGTAGAGCGTCCGCCTGGAGAGCGGAAGGCCCGGAGTTCGATCCCCGGCCGCGTCATTCCAAAAGATGTTAAAACATGGTACCTGTTGTTACCCTGTCTGGCGCTCGGCATTAAGGGCTTAAAACAAGGACTGGTCGACTCGAAGTCAGTATATACTGTGTCTGAGTGGGGTATTCGTGTTAAACTGCGGCATGGTAACCTCAGTGAGCTTGCACTATAAATAGGCATCAGTTCGGACAAGTTGTCCAGACTCGATTATTTACAGACCGCCGTCATATAGCTATGATTGGAATATTGCTGAGTGCGGCGTTAAACAACAAACAAATCTTATGTAGGATTTGTGCCCAATTGATAATTAACCTACCTGACATACATATACCACCCTAAGAACACATCAGGCCATTGTTATCAACGTGTTTTTACTCTTTCAATGTTGAATTTTCATGTTATCACTGTACTTGATGCAAATATTGACTCAATGAACGAGAATGAATTTAAATACACCCAAAAAAGCATTTTTTAATATTCAATCGACAATTATTTTTAAAACGGTATCAACAACACCACGCGATATATATCTTTTGTTCCCCGATGCGATATGTCGGTGCTGACATTTATATCTTTAATCAAGCAATTACTTGTACTTGCACCTTGCAATACAGTCTCCATGGAAACAAGAAACAACATACATGTCTCAAAAAATCTTTACTTACATTGATGACATCAAAAGGCTAAGGTATATGTTTGTTGTTAGTGCATTGTAATAACAGAAAACTATACTTCTTGATTTCAGGGATTTTAGGTAAATATGTGTGAAGCGCCGTGTGGCCTCCTGCTTGTGGCCTTGCTCGCCTATGGTCTTGTGCCGATCCAAGGTAACTTTTGTTTTTGACGTCCAATTTCAAGATAAACATTTGACATTACCTGACACAATTGCATCAGCGTGTTAATTGCCGGGCAAAAGAAAGCAAACACTTAAAATTTAGATCTGACCAAAAATTACGAACGTCATTAAAAAGTCACTAGGCTGAGCAGTCGCCGAAATACTGCAAAAGTAAGGCCCTCAACACAACTAGGGTACCCGTATCAAACACATCACCATCGAAGAATCATTTCTTGTTGGTTTCATTTTTAGCCACCATCAAACATGTGTGTATAATTCTTTTACCGGCAGTTTTCGTAACAGTATTTCTCTTGGAAATATTGTCTTCACTCCTCCCAAAATAGACACCATTGGAGTGTATTTTAGAGTTACTCCCTCGAAATGCTTTAACGTTACGGTGTTGTGTAAACATTAAATTTGAAGTTGAATATTCGAAAAGCATCAAATTATACAATTCTTGGCAGTCTATTTTGATGGATCCTTGCGGGTAAAACGCTCCCTCGTCACGCCGAAGGCCTACGTTCGAATCTCCACATGGGTACAATATGTGAGGCCATTTCTTACTCACTCACTCGTTTATTTACTGTTAGTCAACAGTTAATGTTTTCATGAAACAACAGGAATGATCAAAACACTTCAATGATGCCAGTGACACCAAAATTTGTGACCCACCATGAGCTAAGGGACCCTACGGGTGAAAAATCAAATTTTGACTTCTCGTTATTTTTTAAAACTACATTAGATTAGGAACACAAAAATAAACTCGACCAGCTTCAATTCATATTTTTAACAGATACATGGTTTCAAACGTGCCTCTCTGTGAGACAGGAAATCGGAATGATAGTCTAGTTGTCCACTAACAGTCGTAGGGATGATTTGTCTATCAGATCTAATAAATGTTTATGCAATAATTGACGCAGGTTATAGATAGCATGTCTGATCAATCGAAAGCAGACATGTATGCAAAATTATTTTTTTAAATAATGTTTTTATTACATTACGAACGAACGCTAACAAAGAAGAAGATATTTTTTACAGTCCGCACACGTGGCGAGTTTTAGGGAAGTAAGTTGACGTTTTTCTTCATGACGTCACATAATAATTATTTCCTACCACCCAGAAGGATCCTTTTATCTTGGCGGGTCACATAAATTGATCGAAATGTTAACTGGTGCATGGACACATTGACACCGCACTTCTGATACAGGTCAGGGACATCCATGCGTATAAATTGTGTACAATTTTGTTTCTAATGCGAGTATACCTTCCTGTCAGATGTCAGGTTAAAAACCGCTTAATTCGATTACGAAATGCAACACTTCTTGTGTTAGATACTCAAGATGGGGTATTGTCGTGACGCTGATCATGGACGTTCATCTTGCAGGAGAGTTGACCTTGACCCCACTAATTGTCGACGAAGAAACCGGATTGGCTGAATTCGTCCTGACCGTGACCCCGGCTCCTGGGGCGGAATGGAACATATCTGTATGTATCATCACTGCTACTCGATATAAGCATGCACCGCAACCCGATTGATCGAAAAACATTACATGAGAATATTTCCTTTAATGATCAAAATAGCCTTTGTTTCCTTCATGATGATATGATTATTTCATATACATAACAGTTTAAACGACCCAGGAAGTATACAACTTTATCTCTTCAGCTAATATATCAACTACCCAAAGTTAAAGAACACTATATTCTAGTTTCTATAGTTAATCTTTCATGAATAAGTCGGGTGTTGTTTAACTTCTTTTGAGTAGTATATAATTGATATAATTTATCATGCAAAACTGGCTCCCACAGGAGATACCGCTTGGGTGAGATCAAGCAATATCTACATTGTAGATAATCTCTCTATATATATTTTTATATTTTCCAAGAGAAATTGTTGGAAACTGAAGACTACTTAAGCATTAACAGTAATGCTATCCATCCTGTATTCAAACTTCAAACCCATGCTTGCTTGAAAAGGCGCCTATGCTTGTTGTAAGAGGCGACTAACGGGATCGAGTGGTCAGGCTCACTGACTTGGTTGATGCATGTCATTGTGTCCCAATTGCGTGGATCGATGCTCATGATGTCAATCACTGGATTGTCTGGCCCAGACTCGATTATTTACAGACAGCCGTCATATAGCTGGTAGATTGCCGAATGCGGCGTTAAAGAACAAACAAATAAACAAACAAATCAAACTTTGGTAAAAAGAAAATATGAAAAACAAATAATCAATTCTTTGAGGCCTAACGTTTCTGTTCCAGATTGATACCGCAGAGGACAGCGCAATCGCAGGTGTGGACTTCGTTTCGACATCGGTTTCCCATACAAACCTTGCTATAGGCGTTAAGGAGGTGTCCATTTCGGTGCAAATACTATCAGACCCGGTAAGTTTTGTTAAAACACGACACTGTTTGCAACTGCACAGAACAGGATCTGCACGATTATTCTGTAAGGGTTACGTCATGCTGTATAATTTACATTGTGTTAAACGATTACACCTCCCTGATGCCAGGAGAGCGGAAAGTCGTCGGTTCGTTCCCCTGGCCGCGCCATACCAATATATATTTTTCAACATGATGGTACTTGTTGTTACACTGCCTGACGTTCCGCATTTACGGGATAAAACCAGGACAGGTCAGCTCGACTGTGTCTGAGTGGGGTATACATGTTAAACTGCGGCTTGGTATCTGAGGGGGGCTGGAACTATAAAACCGGAATTACTCCGTGCTAGTACACACAGCCACACATATACACACGCGTGCATGATCGTTGCCTTAAAAGTGCAGTAATCCTCACCTAAACTCAACTCAAATCAACACAAATCAAATCAAATCAACTCAACTCAACTCGCCGGAAGAAACTATACCATATATTACAATGTATTTTATGACTACACACAGGTTATGAGGTAAGTGTGAAATACACTAAACATTGCACGACGCATAACATGCAGTGTTTGTTTATAAACTGTCTTGTTATTGCAAATCGACGGTTACGGAAAGAACACAAATTAATGTTCAGTATATTCAAAGAGGGGTTGTTCTTCCAATATATGTGTAGTCACTATAGTGTTTTATCTATTTCAGGAACCTGAGTTCGATGAGACATTCCTCATTCGAGTACTCGATATTTCATTGCCTGGCGAACAGCTGAAGAACTTTGTAGTCACTATAGCTGACGATGACCGTGAGTATCCGTTGCTTGCTCTTTTATAACCGATCCGTGAAGATCCGGGGTAGAATAGGTCTTCAGAAACCCATGCTTGCTGTAAAAGGCGACTATGCTTGTCGTAAGAGGCGACTAACGGGATCGGGGGTTCGGTTGATTCATGTCATCGAATCACAATTGCGTGGATCGATGCTCATGATGTCAGTCACTTGATTGTCTGGTCCAGACAAACAAAAAACTATCCAATAATCTATCACATTCGCTTGCTCACCCCATTATTCGTGGATAGTTTCCAATTCCGTGAAAAAACAAACAAACAAAAACATTGCATGCATTTATACACATAAGACACTGTTTTTCACATTCCGTCCAATAGTTGCAAGCCATGATCACCGATAAGAATCACTTAGTGTTTATTATTTTACTGTTAGAATGCGCACATTCCACATTACAATCAGAAATCCAATGACTTTAAATGGTTTAACACAAAAAGGTGTTTGACCGAAATATGCACTAGGTTATGCTGTACATGAACTATGAATCACATGCGTACAATGTTTGAATGGCTTGAATCACATGGGTACAATGAGTGAAGCCAATGTCTGGTGCCCCCCGCTCTCATATGACATAAACATTATTGAAAACATGTCACGGCAGGGGTACCAGAAATTGGCTTCACACACAGTGCTCCTGTGGCGAATTGGTGGAACGAACGAACGCGGCGTAAAACCATATCCATTCTCATAGAGTTTATGGGCTCAGATTGAGTAGGAATCTGTGTACGGGTCCAACGTGATTATTCATGTTTGATGTCCTCGTTTCAGGTGCCCCCGCGTTTCTAGACTTCCCTGACATTGTTGCTGTGAGGGAAGGTTCACAAAACGCGTCCTTGACACTCTCACGGATAGGCGATAGCTTGTTTGCATTTACCATTACCGTGAACACCGAGGCCGTGACGGCTCTCCAGGGGAACGACTATATCGGCGTTCAAAACAGACAGATCGATTTTCCCGCAGGCCAGACAAGTTTGACAATCCCCGATCTTGTACACATCATCGATGATTCGGTGAGACAATACGCTTTGTAAGACACAGCGTAAGCTTCTACTCAGTTCCATACAAACACGTCCACACTTGCATGACCAGAAATTTGACCTGAGTACACACACACACACACACACACACACACACACACACACACACACACACACACACACAAAGATTTTATATCTTTGATACTTTCGTTTTACATATGTTTATAATGTATATATCTTTATCATTTAACTTAAGCATTTATCCATGACATAAGCTTATGACATAAAAACATGTATGTCATACCCCAATGACATAAGTATGCAAATTAGATATGCAAATTAGATAACCGGAAGAGCGAGCGGTTTGATTTGAAACTATATATTATAAGTGAAGTTACACCAGAGATATAATCAGATTACACAGAATCGTTCTTGTTACCGTTATTAAAGTTTCAATCATCTGCAAAAGTCTGTTCAAGTATTTTGTTGAAAAATAATCCGAGGAACCTTTTTTCTCAGCGAAGGAACATGCCATAAAGGAGTTAAGAGGTTGTTTATTTTGGTTTACATGGCTATGGAAAACATGTATCACTACGCACGATCTATACGTAAGATTTCGACAAGTTGCTGATGTTAATGTTTAATGCAATTATTCCTTAATTTGGAAGCAAAAATGTGAAAATGATAAATAGAATTCATCACTCGTGTTTTTTAATATGGGAAATATCAACCGAGTCTTAGTTAATCGGTATTTGCCGAGCCTTCGTGATGAATCCTCTATATATTGATCTATGGGTTGACATGATATACGACTTTGTCATTGGACGACGGGTCGGTCACATGGCCGCGAAACTGAAGTTCATAAGTGTATGAACGACACAATTTGACGTTCATGCGTTTTTCACGAGACCGTGTTCTTGAAATGACGTCAACACTATCGGACTACTTCCACATTCCTGGGGAATCCCGTGGAAATTCTCCAGCGCGAACATACATAAGCGTTCGTTCTGATCATTTAGAACCGTTAATCATGGTCTCAGTGTTTCAGTCTGTCGCAAGCTCCGACGTTCATACAGTTTGGACCTCACTCTATGAAGGTTCATACTCCAATGAACTCACACAAAGTGAAGGTCACGTCTTAAATATATCATCTATGATTTTACACACATATATATATTGATCTATAGGTCGCTTTGTTTGTACATATATATATAAATTGATTCTTTTATTTTTTTCATATGTTTATATTGATCTATAAGTTGTTTTGTTTTGTACATATATATTTATTTTGTATTTAACATATATAAAATTTATATATTTATATTGATCTATGGTTCCTATATATATATATATATAGGAACCATAGATATATAGGAACCATAGATCAATATAAATATATAAATTTTATATATATATATTCACACACAAACAAGATATCCTTCGACGTGGTGAAAATGTAACATCAAGGAACTCTTTGATAAGCAGGTAGTACTTAAGTATGGGCCGTTTGGGTTATGATCTTCAGCTGTCCTTGGACCTTGTTTACAAGCCTTTTAAATTGACAAAGAATAAAAAGATGTCAAACAAAATAAATTCAACGACTGAAGTATCCTAACCTCTTTCAAGAAACAAATGGCAATGTTAAATTGTTAATTGTAATATTGGAGTTACATCATACCTCATCATCATCCCACCATGTCCGTGGTCTTTTGGACCGAATGTCTGCCCGGAGATGCGGAAGGTCGCTATTTAGTGCAATAATCCTAAATGCGACTTAAAAAACTTTAAAGGTGATGATTGCAAAGTGACGTGCAGAGGTTATTTGGATCAACATTAACTGCCTTTAATTGCATTTTCAGGAAACAGAAGAAATAGAGATTCTTGAGATACAAATAACTGGAAACAAAATCGCTGAAGAAATCTTTATCGGCGTCTTTATATTTGACGATGAAAGTAAGTCCATGTATCGAACAAGTGGAAATATGACCGACCATGTTCGAAAAAGGGATGGTCATATTTTGTGACACCTAGAAAATTAAGCGGCGGTCTCTAAAGAGGTATACACGATAAAGGATTGAGGTGGATTTTACATCGCTTTTAGCAATATTCCAGGTATATCACGGCGGGGGTCACCACAAATGGACTTCGAACATTGTACCCATGTCGTGATCGTCTCCGTGGTCTAGTGGTAGAGCGTCCGCCTGGAGAGCGGAAGGTCCGGGGTTCGATCCCCGACCGCGTCATACCAAAAGACGTTAAAAAATGGTACTTGTTGTTACCCTGTCTGGCGCTCGGCATTAAGGGGACTGGTCGGCTTGGGGTCAATATACTGTGTCTGAGTGGGGTATTCATGTAAAACTGCGGCATGGTATCTCAGTGAGCTAGCACTATAAATCGGCATCAGTCCGGACTAGTACAAGCAGCCACACAAACACACACACGTACATGCACGTCGCTATATAAGTGCAATAATCTTGGAAGCGACTTTAAACCCCATTTCACCTCACCTCACCTCACCTCTAACACGTGTCTTCGGCTTGACGAACGAACGCTTTAGCCACTAGGCTACCCCACCCTCCACAAGCTAAAGGAGGACTCATTACTGTGGAGTTAAAAACTGTTTTCTTTGTGTTATTTACAGCCCCAGTGAATTCTCACTGTCGTCGCCAGGGACAATTCTGTCAGAATGGGGGAGCCTGCGATGTTAATATTGGCCTTTGTAGCTGCAACGACCCTTTCGATGGGCCTAACTGTGCCATTAATTTAGGTAAATATAAAGCATTTGCATACTCATAAGTAACTGCTACCAAAAGTCAGTTGTACGATTCCGACTGTATCATAAGCTTGAATGTGTTTATTAATCACTATCAAATAATGATGATACAACGTATTCGCGAAAAGGTGAGCGTATCCTGCCCCACCGGTGGCACCTGTCATAAACACATGTAAAGGCAAGTCAATTGTTCACCTGAAAAAAAACCACACGGGAACTTATGTTTTTTTGCAACTGATTCCTCAAATTTAGAAATATCTTCGACATGCCTACCATTTAAGGATTGACTCTGTACTTTTTCGGATCATTGAGGTATGAATCGAAAAACCGATGCGCAAACTGTATGAATCCGCGTAGCGAAAAAAAAAAGCAACAGGCGAGCGACCCTGCACGTTTACGGTTTCATTCCTTCTCGGCCATCGATCTCAAAAAGTAGTTTGGACAATTATTATGCGTGAGTTTCTTTAAATGCCCTGTGCATGACGATACACGTGAGCAGAAAGGGAATTCCATCGACTGTAATATTGGGATTCCCCGACATTCCGTAGTAACAAGAGCAGTCCGCTTCGGTTGGCGTGGCCTATTGTTTTCAGAAATGAATGCAATAACACGTGACCAATTCAGCTAATCAGAATGCAGAAATTACAATGAACACAACGAAAATGTAATTATAAAACATTGAAAGCTTTACTAAGGCCTTTAAGTTTATTTAAGTATGCCATGATACCAGGGATACCTGGTGCACGTATGCATCTACTTGACTGCTTCAAATGTATGATGATGACTCGCATATGATCCGCTATTGTTCCAGATGAAATCGGTGGGCCAGAATGCATTGACCTTCCTTGCCAGGTGGGAACGTGTGTGGTCAGTGCCGGTGTACCGTCTTGCATATGTGACCCTGGATTTACGCGGACTTTGTGCGATAAGAAAGCTTGTGAGTATTTCAGGAGTATTCTACTTACAGCGATAATTGTCTTAACTTTGATAAATATGACACGTTGCTATCCCCCACTTGGCATTTAGGGACAGGCCGGTGTTGGGGGTGGTACATAACAACATGGGGGATAAGCAAAATATGAAACAGTTCTAAGCACCCACATCCCCACCACAACGCCTCACTGCCACTCAATTGTTTTCAGGCGTAGGGCGTACGGCAAGAGTATTGCTGGGTGCGGCGTTAGACGTTAGACAACCAATAGGCACTTCATGACAGTGGTTGGTGCCATCAGTAGAGCAGGCCACGCTTACCATTTTCGAGAACACAGGTTGCCATGACTGATTCTGATTACTGATTCTCAGTGATCCATTCATTATTATTCGCCCTACGGCATCTGTTTTGGAAGATATTCGACACTGATTATTCTTTGAAGTTGACCTTTTCTTGTAACTTTTCGTCACATGCGATTGCATGGCCATCTTTTCGTCCATGATTTGAATGTCGATAATGAGAACCCTGACCACGGATGTTGATCCCTCCATGTCCCGCTCACCTACAGACTACCATCAGTGTAACCCCAACAACATCAGCGTCTGTATCACTCCCTTCTCCGTCGACACCTTCGTTGGCACGATCTACGTCACAAACCACAGAAACACCGTCGGCTGTAACCTCACTCTCGCCCCAAACCCAGCTGATCCTAGTGACGGCATCGCCGACTGGTGTCAGGGCTATGCTGGGATATTCGAATACAACGGCACCTGTGGAGACCTTGGGCCAATTACAGAGGTGTGTTTTTCACATTGATATAAGGATAGACACATTTATTAGTGAGTGAGTTGTGTTTAACGCCGCCTTGAACAGTATTCGAGTTCTATGACGGTGTGTCCGCGGGAGTGTGGGATGCAAACCAGTACGTCTTAGACATTTACCACTTTGGTGAAACCCACGAGCCCGGGTATTAAGGTGACAACCCTGGAAACGTATTAGAGGGGATTCGAAACGACGATCACAGGTTCCTGACGTGCCTAAGGGACGCAACTCTGTACAATGAATTGCGGCGCCTTAGACGACTAGGCCCCTTTGCCCCCACATCTATATGCATATAAAAAAGCTAAATAAACAACACCAGCAAGTGTCTTCTTCCTCCTTCCCGTGGGTCATCTGGGCCCTTCCCAAAAGTTCACTTATTGTGTACGAATTTCCGCGAGTGATAAGTAGGTATTCCATTGACAGTAAAATCATGCCATATCACTTCCCCACTGTGTCCCGATGTATGCTTAAGGTAACGGAATACGCCGAGCATCACACCATGGTGTTTATATTTTACCTCAGGCATTAAGTAAACTTCTCCAGAGCAGTAATGCGATGTATAATGTGTCGATTTTATCTTGTTACTGTATCAGGGAGGAATGAGCATCTTCCAGCTGCAGTTGAGTGTCCGCTACTCCCCTGGTATAGACTTGGTCACTGACGAGGCAGTTACCTTCAACTGCACCTACAGCAGCGACGCCATTGCCCTCAGCAGCCAGTCACTAAACATCAGCGATAACGGGTACGTGTCAGATATATCCTAGCTTCCTCGAAATCAGGAGCTAGCTATACCATAGTTACGACATGCTTACAGGTCCGCCTTTGTGCTAACTGCTTCAGTGTTTGATACTTTAATCTGTTAGTGGAGTGTAGAAGCTAGAGTACTCACAGAATACTTTAATTTGGATATTAAGAACCTATTTCGAATTAATTGTGTGCATACGTGATGTGAGAACATGAATATGAGAACACAAAAGAACTGATGTCATGCTTGTATTTCCTATTCTGATCACTCTAGGGGGACTAAGAACGGAGGTGATGCGCTGTTTATTCCCGCTTCACAGACGGTGGTCAGGCCTGATGGCACTACTATCCAAGGAACGGTTACCTCTGGAGAAAGCGTCAAGGCTTGTGTAACAGTAAACGGCTGTAAGCATACATTTCAAGTGTAAATTGAAGACGAAACATCCTATAGGTTTTTAACAACCGTATAAGTCGTTAACGTCTCTTTCACCCGATTCTTTCATATTACTGATTAATCTGTCATGCCACGCTATTTAACGTCTTTTGAGTAATATACACTAACAAAGCCGATAATCATTAATATTCTTGAAAAAGTTTTTCTTTGAGTTGATAATTGTGCCTTTAATGAAGTTTGAAATCCTGAGGTCATTCCCCTTCTTATCTAGTATCATGACACATATTTGCATTCTACATAGCGATATGAATACTAGTATGACATCACTTATACACACATATCTTTCTGAATCGAAGAACCGATTAAATGGATATTTAAATCCACGTGGACGGGTTCGGCTGTCACGGAAATATTTTCCATACGACGTCATCCATTGTCGCATGAAGTCATTATAACATTCCAGAGTGACGCCAGAGTCGTACCATTACCGATAACGTTATAACAATTACATTATGTTTATACAGATTTTAGGGTATAAAAACATGCATATTTTGCATAAATCCCGGTCTTTAAATTTCAAACTGATGCTGAAACCTTTGTCCTCTATTGACAGCGGATGCTTTCAATGGAATCGCTGTCCACAAGATCACCGTGAACAACACTCGGGGAGAACCACACTACAGAGAAAGGATCTTGTATGATGAGGGGTGGGTGAACAAGGCCAATACAATTCCTATCTCAGTACTTTTATGCAAATAATCAATCTTAACAGTGTTACATCGGGGAAGAAAACATTCAATTTTAAACTTTATGGTTATGACCAATTTGCAAGGAGGTTATTGAAGGTACTAGTTATGATTAAAGTGTGTGTACAACATGGAAAGATCTAAGAGAAGAATATATCAATCAATACATGTACGCTTCTGCAATATGTATTCACTTTGCTACCCTAATGCGAACATGGTATTCATAACTTAGAGTTGTTTGTTCATGAGGCATTTCTTTCAGAATAGAACGCGTTCTATGTCTATGTTTTTAAGTGTTGATATGCAAGTACAAACATGATGTGTTTCACCCCTACCCTTCCCCACCCTCACCTCCAGTGCTTGCTGTGGTAGGTGTATAAGTGATAAAAGAATACCTAGTACCAGCATGACGTATATCGCCTGCCCCCTTCTGTTTGCTCTGCTAGGTGTGAGAGCGATGACGGCTTGCTGTCAGAGAGTCCGGAGTGGAATCCCATTGCTTCCCGTCATACCATGTGTTTTGAGGTCGAGGTGTTCATATTCAGTGATGACAATGGTTTGTCCGACCCAGCACTGGGGATTGTCACACAAGTTAGAGTGTCCGCAACAGAAGGAGCTGCTGCCAAAGTAAGTAATGACACGTCTACATGTAAAGGTCCAGTCATATGAAAGGATCGCAGAAAGGTCTGGTTAAAGAAACCGAGCAAAACGTAGTTCAAACCCTCTCTTGCTGAATAACTATCTTGACCGCTCTATCTGGACGCTAGTCCTAGGCCTACCATGATATCAAAACTATGGGACCTTCATTACCATGCTCTATCTGACAGACTAGCGACACAATCCGCGTGTCCGTGTCATATTTTGCCTCATATATACCTATGTATATCCAACGTTTAGATCCTCCGTAAAGAACTGATGTTTAGCAACCCATGCTTGTCGTAATAGGTGACGAACGGGATCGGCATGCTCGGTGACTTGGTTGATCCATGTCATCACACCCAAACTGCTTAGATCGATGTCAATCACTGGATTGTCTGGTCCAGACTCGAGTATTTACAGACCGCCGTCATATAGCTGGAATATTGCTGAGTGCAGCTTTAAACAACAAAGAAACAAACAAACAAACAAACAAACATTGCTTAGTGCAAACAACTACACAAACGTATGTCAGGATTAACAGTACCACTTCATCTGTTATTGTTCAGCCTTACTATTTAATCACATGATCAACAAGTCCTGGATCTTGTGTAACTCGAACCCTGTTGTTACAGCCCACCTGCGCTACAGGACGCCGACGACGAGACGCTTCCGTGACGGGTACATCAGAAGACGAGACCTTGACCTCTGTCGTCCACCTGGCCAAACCCGTGGCACTTGCAAGTACGCTAAATACCTCTTCAGGTTTCATTTGTGGATAAAACGTTCACATTAACTGATATTTCTCCATGCTCCATCACTGCTTGCTCTTCGTCATCGTATCCCGAGGGTTTGGTACTCGTTCTATCAACCATTGTCTCGCCGAGAATAGGTGATAATATACAGGCCACCCAGATGGGTAGCTTAATACCACGAAGAACTAAGTAGCTACATGCCATGAGGAACAATGTTTTTTTACGTACTCCTTAATACTAATTAGATGGTTTAATACTTTTAACGCTTATTTATAGCAATAACTTGCCTTTTAGTCGAGATATATTATGTATTTTTTGTTTGGTTATTATTTAACGCCGCACTTTAAATTAAATGCATTTGAACCATTAGAAAATACCACTTAAAGTTTGTTTGTTTTGTTGTTTAACACCGCACTGAGCAATATTCCAGCTATATGAAGGCGGTCTGTAAATAATATAGTCTAGACCATACAATCGAGTGACTGACATCATGAGCATCGATCTTGGCCTTTGGGTACGATGACATGCATCAGCGAGCGTAACCACCCAATCCCGTTAGTTGCCTCTAACGACAAGCATAGTCGCCTATTAAGGCCATAATGGGTTTCTTAAGACCAATTCTCTACTCGGGTCTTCAAGAGTCTATTATTTATTGACATTTTGTGGTTTGTGTGTTACGTTAAGTGATTCACGCTCAGATGCACTAGATAATTACGTCATAGTGATGTTCAGCACCTTACAAACGCTATGCATTGTCTTGTTTCCAGGCACCAGCTCCGAGGAAACTACGTGTGCCAGAGAATGGTTGATGCCCGCCATGATCGGCCTCGGCATCGTCTCCATCACTATGGCTGTCGTCATCATCATCCTCGTCTACACTGCCATCAGACAGTTCAAGTCAAAGCAAATACAACAAAACGCACTTACTTGAATGACATTCTTCAAATTCTACCACTCTGATTGAAAGCATTATTGTTTGTGTATTGTCTATAATTCTATGATTCTATGATCTTGTAGCCATAGTAACGAGCCGACCCGGAGAGCTCCAAACGTGGTATTTGAAGGAAGAGGATTTATGGGTGTCAACTTCTTTTTATCGTCCAAAACTGGCTCCCACAGGAGATATCGCTTGGGTGAGATCACGCGATATCTACACTGTAGATATCGCTGCGATGAAATTGCATCACAATGCTTTGCAGACCATTGTGACGTCATGACGTCACAATCAAATGACATCACTAATGGCTCTGCTACTGAAGCTGTAAGCAGTACTTTTTTCACTTAAGACATTGCTAATTACTGTCTACAAACTGAAAAAGTTGGAAGAATGATGTTGGATGATAAATAAAATCTCACCCTCGTGTCTTTTGATATGAAATATATCAACACTAGTTGATCAAAGTGGAAAAAATCCTCGGCGAGCCTCTGAGTTTTCCCACTTTTATCAACTCGTGTTGATATATTTGATATCAAAAAGACATTTGAGTGAGATTCTCTATATTATGACATACATAAATTCTTTTCCTTGTGTGTATCACTTCTAAATGCCTTTCAAAGGCGCGGTATTTGAAACTAGCTACAGCTGCAAGTTTCGGATATGGTTTCGGGAAGATACTGAAAGTATTAATTTTAAGTGGCCTGTGCCGCTATTAGTCTCAGAAATACGACAATATACCAGTAATGTTTTTAATTGGTTTATTTTATGTTCGTCAACAATTTCTGGTGTAATTATTCTATTTGTGGTTCATATATATTGGGTATTTTTTTCTTTTATTTTCTTATTTACAATAATTCTTTGCTTGGAGATGGATTACTTAAAGCTGTGATAGTAAATTAGTTTAGTCATTATTTTATTTTTAAATTCTGTTTTTTTACTTTGGATGACGATTTGGGAGATAATCTTATTGTGTTTCGAATTTTATTGTAGTCCCACTGTAGATTAAATATCTTTTATTTGAATTGAAACCAAGATCTTTAGCTTTAAATAAGACGTATCTTATCTACAGTGGAAAAACATCTAAAGTCAAAACACAAAATGTTTATTCATTCTATTATTACAAAAAATACGGTAGTTCAAGATTATTTATTTTTATTCATGACTAATTCAAAATATTTGTTTCAAAATACACATTTCTTCAAAACGAATTGATGAAAATATCCATAGAAATATATTAAATTTCATCGCAACATGTTGCATATTTGAACTGCTTGGATTCAACCAAGTCATTTCTCGGAAATCAACATGACATCTCACATTGTAGGGGAGACAGATTGTAGAAACAGTAAAAAAACGGGACGAATATATTGCTCCAACTGACGCTATTAAATAAGAGGGTTTGGGGTATTTTGAAGTTATACTTAGCAGTTGGTTTGAAATATCTTCCCAACAGTAATACATATTACGAATGACTCCCTACCCTGAATGTCGACCTGGCTGAACTTTACTCTTCGCTGTCCCTGGCTGCTAAAATAGATGTTCTCAGTAGAGTGCTATTTACAAATTACATCAACCCAGAGGACAGTCCCACCTGTTGTAGTTTTGTTCAACATTAATACGAGGATCTACAGACGCAACAATTGCCAACGGAAAAACCCTGGACTGTGGCCGTTTGTAGCTGCCGACGACGACACGAGAGAGACTGCACATATCTGTTTATGATTAGTGTGTGGCCCTGACACAGTGGTTAGTTTGTGTTCAACTTAATTGTGAGTGAGTGAAAAAGCATGGTTTTACGCCGCTTTAAGCAATATTCGAGCAATATCACGGCGGGGGACACCAGAAATGGGCTTCACACACAATCGAACCCGGGTCTTCGGCGTGACGATCGAACGCATTAACCAGTAGGCTACCCCACCACCCCTAACTTAATTGTGCATGTTCTGAAATAGATTCCATCATGTTTGATAAGCTGCTGTTCTGATATCGAGCGTATACAACATTCTAATGGGTTATCGGCGGCCATTCGGAAAGACTGTCGATAGATCGATATTTTCATACGCACAGTTTTGTGTGATCCGGCTAAATTTAAAGAGGTATCAATGGGAAAAAGGATACCTCTTTTCACAAATCAGAGTGAGTGAGTGAGTTGGGTTTAACGCCGCTCTTAACAGTATCCCAGTTATATCGCGGCGTGTCAGCTTTATGTGGGAGGAAAGCTCGAAGTGATGCAGGTCTCAGACGTTTACCACTTCGGTGAAACCCACGAGCATGGGCATGGTACTGACAAACCTAGAAACATAATCGGGGCTAACCGGGATTTGAACCCACAACCATAGGCTTCTGGCGTGCGCCTAAGACGACTGCGCCACCCGTGCCCCCTTACAAATTAGAATCAAGCATGGTAGAAATGCGTTTAACCCAGATGCCAAATGGATATTCTTTGATGAAAATGTAATTATGGTATACTTCAAAATGTCAACGCTGGAGAATAATTTGCCAAATATTTCCCGATATCGTGCGTAACAGCCAAAATAGTGGTTAAAATAATGTCAATGTCACTAAAAACGTTGAGGACACCGGGTGTTCGCGAAAACAGTAAGCATGTCGGGCTCTTCTAGATCATAGGTCTGCAAAGCTGTAATGGTGCATGTTCAGGTAGGATCGCGCGTTTAGATAATTGTCAATTCAGCCATGTTATAACTACGTTATTATGTGTCCAACTGATTATGACAAGGAATCAATGTGTGCCAAGCTATTCTCTAAGGTATTTATGTCTGCTTTTTTAATCTACAATCGGCCTGAAAACTGCCGACTGGTTAAAAAAGCACAGAAGCCAACTCGACATCCCTAATACACCTTGCCTTGCCATATCCATCGGTAGATCTATATAAATATACTAATTTTGTTATTAATATAATTGCATTTTTGTGTTAACCTGTAATAATACCTAATATACAAACGATGTTTAAATAAATTCACATTCAGCGAACCGACTATATATTGTTGTTTTTTATTTGTAATTCGTAAAATTGCTCACTTTCCCCTTCTGACTAACATGGCCTTTCACATTGACTTCGAATTGAATGCATTGACTTTCATAAGTCCACAGAGGCTTTTTGGTTATATATGAAGTGTTATCACTTGACATATAACTTAAGAATACTACCACATACTGTTATCTTAGTTTCAGTAAATCTTACTAATCGTTATGATTTGTGCTTCATGCTAATTTTGCTGGTTCACTGAACAATCAACTGTTTTGTTTTCATCGTTTGCGATGCGATTCAATGCAACCCATTGTCGCAACTATTCGAAGATGATGTAGTCCTTTATCCCAAGCGTCTGAACTGAACTGAACGTTATTATTACACTCAGGCCACAGTCTGTGGCGAGGTACATGAATGCAATTATTGAATATATTATGTACAAATTATAGCTACAGTAAACCACGGATATAACGAACTCAAAGGGGCCACTAATTTTAGTTATAACCGTAGTTCGTTAAAAGCATATATACATCATAACTACAGCAAATAGTCGGGACAAAAGAGTAAGTTCGCTATATCCGTCAGTTCGTTATAAGCGTGTTCGTTATAAACGTTGTTTACTGTATGTACATATATGCGCTTGCAATTGGTGAAGATTTACAAGCATAAAATACATACAGAACTTACAGTAATACAGTGTTTTCCTGATATAAATTAATTTCCTGATATCTGATTCAAATAGTTGACATACAAATGGGTTGTGAAATACATCTCCGACGTCAATTTCGATCAATTAGTGGGATGATCCCGGGTTTCCAACCGGCAGATAGTGATTCGATGTCCTGAATTTTAGTAATATTCGCCATTTGAATTATTGCAAATAAATTAAATACTGCTCAAATTCTAGAGATTTGACAATATTATATTGACCCCTTTCGAAGAACTTACTACGTTTGTTGCCTATGTTTGCTGATAGATATCCAATAAATTAGAATTAACAAGTATAATATATTAACAGATAAATACTTTGAAAAACATATGGTGTCATATATAACTTAATCCTAGTTTGTCAAAAATACATTTTTTACAAGTTACCCATTTATGATGATATTTTCCCAAATACTGCCCGCTTACATGCCAAAAGACATCAAACGGAGGCTTTTCTAGGTGAGACTTTACGCCCAAAACAAATAATTCTCCTTTTAGCCTCTCCATAAATCATTATCAATAAATTAAGAGCGCTGTTCCTTAGTGAAACTAAAGGAATCGTGAATGTATATAAAGAAGAATAGGAGTAACTAAATTATCAAAATTTCTTAAATACAATCGACCTTGGCTGTTTCAAGCCATAGCTTTGGTTACCTTTTCATTTAGAATTTGCTTAGTCTGTGTAAATGTGTTTGTTTTCTGTAAAGTGACACCAAGGTATTGATAAGGATCAACATTATAATACCATTATCACAAATTTTGAAGGATTGCTTAGAATCCTTTTAGTCCTTTTAGTTTTCCCCTAGCCAAGGAGAAACTATCGTAAATAAACAGAAAAAAGATGTGTTCAGAAATATATTTGCAATTCTAGCACAGGCATACATGTTTCAAGTGACGAGGAGATCTGTTTCATCAATCCACAGATTCACCGCAATGTATGTCGGAGTGAGTGAGTGAGTGAGTGAGTGAGTGTGGCTTTACGCCGCTGTCAGTTATATTCCAGCGATATCACATCAGAGGACACCAGAAACGGGTTTCACACATTGTACCCGTGTGGGGAGTCGAACCCAGGTCTTCGGCGTGACGAGCGAACGATGTAACCACAAGGCTACCCCGCCGTCTTATGCTCGGTGTGCATCGATTGTCTGTCGGTAATAGAGGTTTCCACATATTTCTGGAGCTGCCTATCCTTTGTGTCATGCCGCAGTTAGCAATATTCAAGCTATATCACTGTGGCTAAGTAATCGATTACTGAGTGATGCAACCAGTGGTTGATAGCATGAGTCCCCACGCCGTCGGGTTTGGCTACCCGAACCCCACTCACAGATGCCATGTACACGGTTACTATATCGATATGGTATCTGGTAGTGAGGGGCGGTCGGGTAGCCTAGTGGTTAAAGCGTTCGCTCGTCACGCCGAAGATCCGGGTTCTAATCCCGACATGGGTACAATGTGTGAAGCCCATTTCTGGTGTCCCCCGCCGTGATATTGCTGGAATATTGCTAAAAGCGGCGTAAAACCAAATTCACTCACTGACTCTGGTAGTGATGGCGGCTCGTCATATTCCGACGGCATGGGGCGTTGTTCATAATATCAATCATTGGTTTGTCTGGTCCAGACTCGATTGTTTACGGTCCGCCGTCAAAAAGTTGAAATATTCCTGAGTGCGGCGTTAAAGAACAAACACTGTGACCTTGTCACTAAAATTGTAACTGTTTTGTCGTGTCCGACGGAGGGCCAACATCAGGGTTGGGACATGTTAATGTCACTAAACTCATACAAATATTGCTTTCTTGACTAAATCGAGCAACATGAGTATAATTAAACACATGGTGGAGAAATAACAAACATTAGATTATACACAACGACAGATTTGTATTTACAGCGAGCGGAAACGTACAAGAGCCTGTTGTGTTAAACAACCAGAGTTGTCGGACCTTATGCATTCTTGCTTCCGGGACGGGACGGCAGGCCATGTTTACTTTCACGAACCAGACATTACTGAATTGCAGTGATCCATTAGTCATACCATTATTTTGCCTTTTACGCTTTTATCTGTTTCGGTGTATAATCGAGACGTTTTGAAATCGATGACGTTATATATTTCCATGGTTATCAACGGTTACAACAGCTTAAGATGTTCAGGAAGATTCGTATACAAACATCTTCGCCATTACTCCTTTCTTCTTGATACATGTTACGGTTACTTCAATAAAAGTTACAAAACCCTTTCCTGAGAAATATCTGCTGAAAGAGTCCATTCCGACTAACACAACAAACAAATACAAAGGCAAGTCAAACGTGTATCTGAAAAGAAAACAAGGAGTTGTTTCTTTCAATTAATAAATGTGAGAAGGTCGCGTTCAAGATTATTGCACTTATATATAGCAAGGTGTGTGTGTGTGTGTGTGTGTGTGTGTGTGTGTGTGTGTGTGTGTGTGTGTGTGTGTGTGTGTGTGTCTGCTTGCACTGGTCCGGGCGTTCGCCGGGTTTTTTCGACTTTATAGAGCTAGCCCACAGAGATACCATGCCACAGTTTAACGTCTTTTGGTATGACGCGGACGGAGATCAAACCACCGACTTTCCGCTCTCCGGGCAGACGCCCCGCCCCATCCACCATACGGTAAATAAAGTGGAATAACGCGACCGACGAAGAGGAAAGCGGCCTTTCAAAATTAAAATTGTAATGCGTCAATGCCTATTGATAATACAGTGTGGATATAAAGTCGAAAACATAATTTCCAAAACCTTTATTAGACTGTAACAAAGACGCTTGCACGCACAAGGTCCAAAAGGTATTGCTCTTTGGGGCCAAAGAAACCCATCCCCGTCACTATTGAAATAGTGGCGTTTGATGCTTGATGTTCTGCAATAAAATAGTATTTACATTGAAAGTTTGAAAGGATTCCTTGAAAATATTGCTATTGAACTGGCAAGTATATGCAATTTCCCAACTAGGAAGTTGATGACAAGGCCATCCCTATGACGATTTACTCATAGGCCCTTGCGATACTCCAAGCAACTGCCTATCAATACTATCTATATGCATTCCGTGTGTGGATACTATCTACATACGCCGTGTCTATCTAACAGAACCTGATTGTGGGATCTCTCCAGGTACTATGTTTATCGTTATCATTCTTAAATAATGTCTTGTAGTTCGTAATCAAGGCATGATTTTGTAACCCTGATGTCTGGAGTCACCTCAAAAACCTCTGACGTGCACGGAATACCGGACGCAATGTTCCCCGACAATATATCATCATAGACTATTTATTTGATGGTAATGTGACCGTTAACCTTCCAGCGCCTGTATAGGCAGCTTGGGTTGTATACTCACCAGGGAGCTGAGAATGAAAATCGACACCAGGGTTATAATGTTAGCGCTTTGAGCATGGACCGTGTGTATGGAGGCTATAGCAATATAAGTAGACGCGTCTTTTTCTTATTCTTATTAATTTCAACATAATGATCATGATAATATACATTCCTTCTACCTAGCATCGTTTACGTAACAGGCAGTTTTCTAGAATAAATGCCACACGGCCAAAAAAACAAAACATAAAGCAATAATTTAAAAAAACATAAAGTCACTGTGTTATTATTCGAGATTTATTGTTATTTTGTTGAGTATAATTATTCTCAATATTCCTTTGGGAATTGAAGATTCTATCTGGATTCCATAACCCTTCACTGTCTCGTTTTCAGTGATGTTACAATTTGTACACAAAACACGTTGCGTTTCTTTTTTGATAGTTACATCCTGATGCAGGTTTGTCTCTATCTGTCCGAATACACCTGTGATTATATATAAGTAATTAGTACTTTAAGTATATGAATGATATTGGCAATAATAATTCAAGATTTTTGTAATTTGATATTGGTACTCTGTGAGAAATTATTCCCACATTCACATATTTGCAGACTTTGATGTGTTGGACGACGCATGTGGACTACAGCAATGGCTTCAGGAGCGTCGCTCTGTGTCCTGCTTTGTCTTATCGGTAAAACACACGGTATGTCAATGTCATTTTTTAGTGACACAATGTCTTGTCTTCCAAAGATGGTGGGATGTTAAAAGCACCCACATTCATGTTCGCGCAAATCTCATATAATAAATAGTCGAGAGATTTTTATATCACAAAAAGGAAAGCTGAATTATTAATGAAAGAGTGATGGATATATAAAAGAAATATTGTTAATTTGGGCCAAAGAGTAGATTAACGCCGAGTAACATCGAAATATTTAGAGAGATTAAAAAACTGTGGTTTTCTTCTTAGAATAACTCTATCGTCATGATATGATAGTAGCATGGTCTAACCTTTTTCAGTTTTGAAATCAACACAATACCAGGACGTTTTCCTAACACTGTGTTATGTTTACGTGGCGTCACATTGATTATTTTTTTACACATTGTACATTGTATATGTTGTCAAGACAACGACCTCTACATAATATTATTAAAGTGGTCATTGTAGTTAGAGGATTTCAATCTGTGGGTCAAATGAACATTGTACTCCTTGATCAATAGTCATGGTTAATGAATGAATGGTCGTAAATTCACATTGGAATGAAAAAGTTGAATCGTGAAATTTGCGTTAATCACTAATTTCCTCTATAGTGTAACGAGGTGATTTCATAACTGAAAAGCAAAGGTTAATCCACAAATCAGCAAATGGCCACACAAGATTAATGAATAAGCAATAAATCTGATTTAAACTCACTGTGTTTGGATTACAATAAAAAAGACAACACAACGTCTCGTGAAACTGGCAGTAAGTGACATGCACTAGAATTAATGTAAGTAAGTAATTTGACAGATTTGGCCAAATGTCTTAAAAGAGATCTGTCTCCTTTCATGAATCCAGGGGGCGGTCGGGTAGCCTAGTGGTTAAAGCGTTCGCTTGTCACGCCGAAGACCCGGGTTCGATTCCCGACATGGGTACAATGTGTGAAGCCCATTTCTGGTGTCCCCCGCCGTGATATTGCTGGAATATTGCTAAAAGCGGCGTAATACCAAACTCACTCACTCACTCATGAATCCATAAAGGTGTTGGAAGCTGGCTGAAATTCGGTGTTTCCTATACCCCACTTGGCAAGTAGATATGAAACATGTCGGGTCGAAAAGGTATCGAATCGCCCTCTTGTTATTCTTCTATACGTACAGGCAGCCACCTGAAAACTGCCACATTCGGGAACGTCTCGAACGGTCAAATCAGGGCGGATAACTCTAATACGAACTAATTCTGGAAAGCTCCAATCCGGCCACGACAGCACTTGATATTTGTCACTAGTATTTCAATCATTTGATGCCAAGAGAAATTACTACAAATATATTGACACTAACATTACTTACACATAACTAGATTATGCCAAACCGCTGACATGATAAATAGGTTCAACAGAGCCGTTACAAGATACAAATATAATGTAATACCGTGGCAGCTGGTTTTTGTTTGTTTAGATAATAAATAAATTTCCCATGTGTTCATTGAAACTCCTGCAGTCGGATTAGCTGAATTGGTCACGTGTTATGGTTCCAGCCACTAATGCCTACGTCCACTTTTGCCTACAGTTACTATTGCCTACAAAAAATAATAAAGCAGTGTGGAATAATGCCTACACAATGAAAACAACATACCAATGCTAGGAGTGAACTCTTCCAATATTAGATTTCTTTGAGAAGCGATCTTAAGTTAGATGGGCAGCGTCCACTAATGCCTACATCCACTAATGCCCTTTCATTTCAGCTGGAGATTTGCATTTCTCAACATAAATATAATTAACTGGATTACGTCAAGTTATTGTTGAAATGATCTACATGTCCTTCCTAGTTGTGACCATGCTTGTCGTAAAAGGCGACTAACGGGATCGGGTGGTCAGGCTCGCTGACTTGGTTGAGACATGTCATCGATCCCAATTGCGTGGATCGATGCTCATGATATTAATCACTGGATTGTCTGGTCCAGACTCGATTATTTACAGACCGCCGTCATATAGCTGGAATATTGCTGAGTGCGGCGTTAAACAACAAACCAACCAACCAACCTAGTTGTGATCTTAACATGAGTTGAGCTCCATGCTCCCCGTAGTTGTGATTTTAGCAGAGGATTAACCGAACTAACTGAGTAGAGGATAAATACTCTTTAGATACTTCATGAGTTAACTCAAAAGTCAAAACATGTATTGGTAGAAGTATAAAATGACAGTGTTTTCATTCGACATGGCTAATCCCCAGCGTGTTGAGTGTGTGACATCCCAGAAACGTGGACAGCAGGTCGTCCTTGATGGATATCGGTACCGCCTGAACAACAGAAGACAGACCTGTGTACACTGGAAATGCGTAACCACTGGATGCACAGGAAAGTGTACCACAGTTAGAGACTTTGTCAGAAACCGCAGCCCTAACAACCACCCAGCAGAAGATATGACGACTTTCCGTACTTTAAGTGTACTTTGAGGAAGAGGTTTGCCACACTGGAAGAAGATGCAGCTGCAGTATTTCCATCCTTCTATACGAAGAGAAGTGGTCTCTACAAGCAGCGTAGGAAGACTATTCCAGCCCTCCCGCAGCCACTGGCACAAGTTCAGCTCCTGGGTTCCTGGCAGGAGACCTTGGACGGCAGACCCTTTATGTGCGTCAACGATGGCGATGATGAGAAGATTATTTGCTTTGCCACCGAAGACCGCCTTCATCTTGTTCAGCAGTTGGACACTTTATATATGGATGGAACACTTTATTCTGCTCCAGCCCTGTGGAATCAGTTGTACATAGTGCATGGGTTAGTTGGATCCAAGATGACACAGCTGATCTTTCGTTTGCTGCCCAATCGCCAGAGATCCACATATGTCAGACTCCTTCAGAAGCTTAAGGAGACAGTGCTGCAGATCACAGGAGCTCCTCTACAGCCACAAGTAATACAGACTGACTTTGAAGTTGCTGTGATGCGAGCTGTCGAGGAGGAGATGTCTGGTACAGACATCAGGGGGCGCTTCTTCCACTATACGCAGGCAGTGTGGAAGAAGGTTCAACATTTGGAGATGGTCAATCAGTACAGAGACAATCCGAACATCCACAACCTTGTCAGACGTGCTGCTGCACTACCACTGCTAACGGTCAACATGGTTCAACAATCCTGGCTCGACGCAATAGAGGATGCCCCTGATAAGCCCCAGATCACGTCATTCAAGGACTACATGGTGAATACTTGGGTCGAGGACAATGCCATGTTCCGTGCTGGTATTTGGAATCACCACACCAACTTTGGTCCTCGAAGGAACAACCACCTTGAAGCGTGGCATGCCCGCCTTAACAAGACTGTTCAGCGAGCCCACCCCAACACCTGCCTTGTGAGAGTCCTTCAGAAGCTAGAAAAAGCAGAAAGGAACAAGATTGCCCAGTATATCCATGGTGAACGTCCTCCACCCCGCAAGCGAGTCTATGTTGAGATAGACCACAGGATCCAAAGTCTAATTATATAAAAGATGACTTGCTCCATCACAGAAAGTCACCTCTTGAGTTTCTAGATGCTGCAGGACATTTGCTTAGACTCTCATAAAGAACTGTATGATGATTGAAATCAGAAATCAGTGTACACTGCTATTCTGTCCATGTACTGATATAAGAAATCAGCAAATAGCTGCTGGTGTTTACTATAAGAACTAATGCAATGATGCAGAAATCATAAATTATTACTGTTAGTGTTATAAAAAGTGACTTCTTTTGTCGCCTATAGGCATTATTCCACTAAAGTGGACTTGTCCAGTTAGAGGTTGGGTAGCACTGATAGCAGGTGTCGCTGAAAATCACTGGTGCATGACTTTGTTTATTGTAGACTGTAGGCATTAGTGGATGTAGGCATTAGTGGACGCCGCCCGTGTTATCGCATTCATTTCCCAATATATGTAAAATAAATTAAGCCACGCCCACCAAGGGGACTACGGATTGTCGGGGAATCCCAATATTACAGTCGCGGGAATTCCCTTTCTGCTCACGTGTATCGTCATGCACAAGACATTAAGCAAAATTCCTGCATATTCATTGTCCAAACAACCCTTTGATACCTGCAAACGTGCAGGCTCGCCATCCGCTCGCCTCGGTTCCACAACTTTCATGTCTTCGGGTTTCTTTTCTAACTAGCATGTTTCCAACTGTGTTTTATCGTAATCAGGGAAGTAATGTTTGCATCTGGCGGTAACTGACCATGTCATTTGAAACAGCCGCCTTCTTCGGACATATTTGTTCCGGCTCGTGACAGCTACATTTACACTGCTTCTCGCCTCTTGTCTTGATGGACAGGTCCTAAGGACATTGTATTGACATTACTCTCCGTTGATTGGCCACTGACGTTGTAGGCGTGTCAAGTTATGTGCATAAATTGAACAATCACCTGATTCATGTCACGCCACAGTATGTATTCCTACACCTGGAACGTTTATCAATCTTGTCATGTTTGTCTGCTTTGATATACGTATACAACTGTTTTTGGTTAAACTAATGTAGATTAAACATGTTTTCGTTATCGAATTTAATTTTAAGCTTGACTACACAGTCAATCCGTCATTATATTAATTTCATTTTGCCATTTCCGCTAGTTTTTCCATATTCTTCAAGTAGCTTTGTCACAAATACATCACAATATTACTTGAAGACGTATTAATGAATCTCCCGTCCAGTTTGGCCATCAAGTGAAAAGGTGTTTGTTCATCCACTGGTCTCTATTTTATTTTAGTCACATATACATGGTCACAAATACCTCAATGACGATTTATAATATCTTTACTTCAGCTGTCTGTTACAAGCGCTGACTGCTTTATTGCAGGTGTATTAACTATCAGTCCATCAACACTGCCCGAGAACGCAGGGATCGCCACCATTGCTGTCACCACATCTCTAGGACCTCCATCCCTCTGGCTGTTCCTGGTAAAACAATATTATAATAATTTTGCAGGCATAAATTTTTCTTACCAATAACTACACAGCATATCAGTTGCACCAAAACCATTTGTTCTTTTTTGTCTTTCATACACTGTTGTACACAATCAGTTGGCTTAATGCACTTTCTGCATACCCGTAGGAATGTATGTGGGAGATGGGGCGAACACTTTTAGGTACAAGCAGTGTATAACACCATTGTTTTTCATTCACCGTAGTACAACCTGGTATTCCCAGGTGAGTCAAATCTGGCCACTGGGACAGATTCTGTTTTGCATTTTCTTCTTCTATCGTGTCACTTGACTGTCTAGTGTAAACATTCCAGCTGCTCCAGCCTTTGGTGTCCACATTTCTGAATATTTTAGATACAATTGGGCATGGTATTTCTATGTAGATTTGAAATAGCACCATGTGACTCTTCTCAAAAGTTGTTTGCTCAGGGCTACAATATTCAAGGTCTTAGTGAAGCTATCAAAAGGTTTAAAGGTAGACATGTGTAGGGTATTTCAGAGTTTGACGCATCAATGACCACAATCCGATGCAATTCCCTATTTTGACTTGTGCCATAACATTCCAGTATTTGGTCGGGTTAACAATTATTTATCTTATCTTTGCATGTGGTTTCGGGTGCCACCGGTGGAACAGGAAACGCACCACTTTGCTATGAGTTAAAAAAATTAGACACAGTTTTTAGCAGAGATTATGATGAAAGGGTTTCGTCGCTTTTACTTATACGCTCTCTTCCAGTACGAGACGCTCAACGGGACAGCTGTGGCAGGGACGGATTTTACCCTGGTACAGTCTGGAACGGCTTCACCGCATGCCCCAAGTTTTGCAACTATTTCAATTGACATAGAAATTAAAGATGATTCAGTAAGTCTCATTCGCATTGTCAAAACACAGATCTGTATTACAACATGTTTTTTACTATCCCATCAATTGATGTGTTTCTCATCACACGAGGGGGCACGGGTGGCCAAGTGTCTGAAGCGCCGCGATTCGATGTGCAGAGTTGCGTCCCTTGGGCACGCCAGAAACCTATGATTGTGGGTTCGAATCCCGGTTCGCCCCGATTTTGTTTCTAGGTTTGTCAGCACCATACCCGTGCTCGTGGGTTTCATCGAAGGGGTAAACGTCTGAGACCTGCATCACTTCGGGCTTTCCTCCCACATTAAGCTGACACGCCGCGATAAGACTGGAATACTGTTAAAAGCGTCGTTAAACCCAACTCACTCACTCATCACATGAAGCCACACCTCTTCAGTGTGAGGCCATCAGGTACAAGGAGTACATAATTATGTATTTGTGTTATTGATAACACATTCAAGCTAGATAAGATAATTTTAACTGTATTGTTCAACCACCACATAAACATGTACTGTGAGTGGCAATATCTTCATGATGTGTCTATTTTTTTATAAATTGATAGAATTGTGGATCAATTTCAGTTTTATGATCCCGGAGAGACGTTTACCCTTTTCATTTCACAAGTCTCAGTACCTGGCGAAACACCTATCAATATCACCATCTCCATCATTGATAACGAAGGTAAGGGTTCTTCATACTTTAAGTACTTTAAGGATAGTTAAGTCATAATTGATTATAATGAAAGTGGCATTACAGGTCTCTCCTAAAATATATACGATTCCTACTTTATCATAAGCATGTGTTGATGACTCACTATCAATTAATGACAATGACAGGTGTTCGCGAAAAAGCGGTTCCTGCCCCACTGGTCTCACCAGTGGCCCAAACACACGCAAAGGCAAGTTAACTGTTGACCTGAACAAACACGGGAATTTCATCTCACATCATTTTTGTCACCGGATATCTTTTTGATATCATTTTGATATTATTATTTTGATCACTGATGCGTCAAATTTGGAAATGTCCTCCACATGTCTACCATACAATATTTTGAATGGTGTGAAATGTAAACACAGTACATATTCGTGGGTTGATTGATCCAGTTCTAATCCTCACAGACGGAATTGCTTCATAGTGGGCATAATATGTCAAAGAGGCATGTCCATAAACACTTGAGTCAAATGAGAAAATTGTTTTCTTTGACACGTCTGTAATAAAATAGGGGTCTGTAACTGTAAATGTAAAAAAACCAAAAGGAACGTACTTGAGGTTTAAAACGTATCAATCTACTTCCGTAAACGTTACTGTATAACTATTAGTGTAAAGGTAAAACATATGTTTCCACAACACCTAACAGCCCAAATACACATCAAATATGACGTATAGTTAGGTAAGATATTTTGGGAAGGGACACCTTAGAATAACGCCAATGCGCTAAAAACTAGTTTTAGTCATGCATTATTTCAATTGACCCTGTCAATATCCTCGCATCCTGACGTACCATTTTTCCACAGAGCCAGTGAGTTACCACTGCGCCAGACTGGGACAGAACTGCAGCCAAGGTATCTGTGATCCTGATACCGGTGTGTGTGCCTGTCCACCAGACTATCAGTCTGCGGACTGTAGCATTAATAGCAGTAAGTCTTGCAATGTATAATATGTACCATGAAACTCATATATGTGTGTTTGTTTGTTTGTTTATTGTTTAACGCCGCACTCAGCATTATTCCAGCTGTATGGCGGCGGTCTGTAAATAATCGAGTCTGGACCAGACAATCCAGTGACTGACATCATGAGCATCGATCCACGCAATTGTGATTCGATGACATGCATCAACCAAGTCAGCGAGCCTGACCACCCGATCCCATTAGTCGCCTCTCACGACAAACATAGTCGGTTTTTTAGGCAAGCATGGATTGCTGAAGACCTGTTCTACCCCGGATCTTCACGGGTCTCATATATGTATCTATGGCTCTACACCAATACTGACTAAAAATGCTTAGAACATACAGGGGTGAGTGAGGGCAATTTCCCAACTTTATCACCAGGTAAACCAGTGATTGAAGTTATGAGCATCCTCATCGGATACACGCCGAGCCTGACCACCTGATCGACTTTAGGCTCTTGTGAAAAACATGGGATATTTGGTACCTATTCTCCCTGGAACCGCAACGGGGATCAAGAATTCAGTTTGACTCGTATTAAACATTGTATCATTACTAGAATATGTCTGTCTGATTGACCATCTGCCGTCTTATGAAAACCCATACTAGTCGATTGGCCGACCTGTATAAAACATTATAAGATAGCTAATGGTAGTGATAACATGTCATTAATATTCTAAAGATGTATTCTAAAGATTTATTCTAAAGGACTCGTGGTCGTTGTTTATTGTACAATAAAACACTGCAGGGAGCATAAACCACTCGGGGCTGCGCCCTTCAGTGTTTTATTTCACTCGTCGTTTATTTCTTTATTATGACGTCATTATGTTTGACGTGACGTCATTTGATTGCCACGTCACAATTCACCCTGTTTAGACTTTGAGTTCCATAGAGCAATGCCGATGGCGGTCACAAAATTTATCTAAATGTTTCTCACTACGTCTTTTAAACTCATCAACTTGTGCTGTATATTCCAGGCTCTCTTGTGTCCAGTGGCTGCCCGGGCTGTGTTAACGGCACCTGTATAGTAAACGATAACGGTGATGAAGTCTGTAGATGTCAACCAGGCCATGCTGGGGCAATGTGTGACAAGCCAGCATGTGAGTAAACCTGGGTCACGGTCAAGGCCGAACGTCAAGACACATTTTCTTTACATACTCGCTTAGAGACTCATACATGCTGGTTTATGCCCTTAACCAGTTGGTTAACATATATTCTGTAAAACCAACTCGACCTTGTTGATTGTGATTATGCTTTAAAAGGCTAGGACAATGAGCTTGTATGTATGTAGATGTCATTGGAATATAAATATAATAAAAATATTTGATTTAGAGGAATAGAACAATCACTGCTCAAGTGAGTGTGAGATTTTCTGGTTTACTCCGCTTTTAGTAATATTCCAGCAATATCACGGCGGGGGACACCAGAAATGGGCTTCATACAATGTACCCATGTTGGGAATCGAACCCGGGTCTCCGGCGTGACAAGCGAACGCTTTAACCTCCAGGCTACCCGACCGCCCCACTGCTCACGTGACAACCCTGAGTACGGGCTTTATGCGGACAGTTCGACTTTGAATATAAACTGCCCGGCAAAAAAAAGTATAAACCCATGTTTGGAAAAAAGAAACATGAAACGGTTAATCGATGGTGATTTAAATGTTGGGTCAAAAGAAACTATCAGTCGATTAGATACTATGTTTGATTTTCAATTAAAATATATCTGAAGTTAGCGATATATCCAAAACATGAACTGTACTGGCGCTTTGTCAGCGCTCAAAGACTACTTCTACATGGTTTATTTTTTACTCTATAATTTTATCTAAAAAGTGGACAAAAAACAACATAAATCACAACTGGTGATGGGATCTTTGACATCTTATTTTTTGAAAATATGTACATTTGCTTTGTTCGGCACACATTTATCAATCAGCGATATTATAATATTATCCAAAACATGAAGTGGGGTGGCACTCCGACATGTTTTTATTTTGTTTAACATAATTTAATTAAGTTGAAAACTTTTTAAAAGGGTAGGGGTGATGTGGAGGTATCCTCTTAACCAGATACTTCACTAAACAAATTTATTTATACACACACCATAGATTACATTTTGCAAACTGTTGCAGGAATGAGGTTTAACTTTAAACAATAAATCTTATTTAACAACAGTTCTTTCAATTTTAAATTCGGTATACTTTCATTTGCCATTAAGTTTATTTGATACGGGTATTACAGTGTTTTGGTCCTTTGCAGTGTTTAAAGCGACTGTTTTTAGGCTGGTATAATTTGTTGCTGCTTGAACAAATCCAATTTTCAAGTCTATACTTTTGCCCGGCTGTGTATTCTAAAGTGAGAAGGCCACGCCTTTGATGTGACGGGCGGGTGGTAGTGATAAAACACATTCATATGAAAAGAGATCTGAAAGCATATAGAGATGCATGTATTGTATACAATGTAGATCGCGCTGTTGTCTGTGAGTAACTACCTTTCAACAGTATCGACACTTAAACATCTTTTCAACTGATCAAATTCAGATTTTGAACCAGGGCAGTGACGCCCTTGTAAAAGCCCTCTATGGTTGCATAAATGCTTTCTTTTGAAATTTTTGGGGGCGGTCGGGTAGCCTAGTGGTTAAAGCGTTCGCTCGTCACGCCGAAGACCCGGGATCGATTTCCGACATGGGTACAATGTGTGAAGCCCATTTCTGGTGTCCCCCGCCGTGATATTGCTGGAATATTGCTAAAAGCGGCGTAAAACCAAACTCACTCACTCACTCAATCTTCTGAAATTTACGCTGCTTTATAAAAAGGAAAGAGAGACTTTATTGGATGGTAAATATAGCATAATTCCTACGTTGCACACTTAAAACATGTACTTATTGAGAAGAAATACACAGAAAACCTAACTTAAAATTGCACTGGATTCTCTTTTTCATCGATCACTTGATCGCAAATTGTGTGAATGGTGGGTGCTGCCGGTAGAGCAGGATATGCTTACCCTCTCTTGAACACCTGGCGTCATCACTGATGGTCAGTAGTTTATTTATATAGTTTCCACATCTATATAGTTTCACATCGATATATGCCAGAACACGTCACACTAAAAGACGTTAAAAGATTGTACTTGTTGTTACCCTGCCTGGTGCTCGGCATTAAGGGGCTACAACAATGACTGGTCGGCTCGAAGTCAGTATACTGTGTCTGAGTGGGGTATTCATGTTAAACTGCGTCATGGTATCTCAGTGGGCTAGCACTATAAATCGGCACTCGTCCGGACTTGTACAGGCAGTCACACAAACAAACATTCACACGAGCATGCACGTCGCTAAGTGCATTAGTCGTGAACGCGACGTTAAACTCTATTTTATTTTACCTCCCAATCTGATACGCTTTCCTTGTGATCCTCAGACTACCACGAGTGCAGCGCAGAAAGCTTCAGCGTGTGTATTACCCCCTTTCCAATCTACAACTTCGTCGGGGACGTTTACGTCATGGGCAAACGAAACGTGAGCGGCTGCAACCTCACCCTCGTACCTGCGGCCCCGGATCCTGGCGACGGCATCGTGGACTGGTGTCAGGGCTACGGGGCCTCCATCCCCTATGACGGCACATGCGGGTCACTGATCAATGTAGGTATACAGCAAGCACGTTGCCTCTCATGACAATTGTCATTGCGAGTTTCAATAGGGTATTGATATTTACTGGATAGAGAAAACTTGTGTTAGCGGAACAGTAAATATACGTGACTGCGTCAACCTTTGTACATTTTGAGTTAGAATAGGTCTTCAGAAACCCATGCTTGTCGTAAGAGGCGACTAACGGGATCGGTTGGTCAGGCTCGCTGACTTGGTTGACGCATGTCAGCGTATCCCAGTTGTGTGGATCGATGCTCAAGATATCAATCACTGAACTGTCTGGTCTAGACTCGATTATTACAGAGCGCCGTCATATAGCAGGAATATTGTTGAGTACAACAAACACAGAAAACAAACAAACATTTTGAAATACAGTGGGTTATCAAGATAACGGGTCACAGTCAATAAATAACATGTTATCCGAAGTTTACCTGTCTGTTGTCATGACGACGGTTCACAGTATCATACAATACGTTTATGAAATGCCACCCACAGGTTACTCGTCTGCTGTCATGACGACGGTTCGCAGTATTATGCAATACGTGTATGACATAATACCCATAGGGTAATCGTCTGTTGTCATGGCGACGGTTCACAGTATCATACAATAAGTGTATATCATACCACCTTCAGGTTACTCGCCTGTTTTTATGACGACGGTTCACAGTATCATACAATAAGTGTATGACATACCACCCACAGTTACCTGTCTCTTGTTAGGATGACGGTTCACAGTATCATACAATAAGTGTATGACATACCACCCACAGTTACCTGTCTCTTGTCAGGATGACGGTTCACAGTATCATACAATAAGTTATGACATACCACCCACAGTTACCTGTCTCTTGTTAGTATGACGGTTCACAGTATCATACAATAAGTTATGACATACCACCCACAGTTACCTGTCTCTTGTCAGGATGACGGTTCACAGTATCATACAATACGTGTATGACATACCACCCACAGTTACCTGTCTCTTGTCAGGACGACGGTTCACAGTTTGTTCTGAAGCTGGTTGTGCAATACAGCGACGTACCTGAGCCAAGAGACGAAGAAGTCGTTCTCACATGTGATGGCGGCCTTGGACCCCCAGGGAGGTCAGTACCATTCATCGAGGGGAGATCATGGGTGTAGGAACCCTAGGGATGTCAGTACCATATGACAAAAAGGGGAGACCGAGGGTCTAGGGGGGTCAGTATCATACAAGGAAGGGAGGGCGCTTGGACCCCCAGGGAGGTCAGTACTAATGACAAGAAGGGGAGAGCGATGGTCTAGGACCCCGAAGGGAGGTCAGTACTATAGACAAGGAATGGAGAGTGAGGGTCTAGGACCCCCAAGGGAGGTCAGTACTGTACGACAAGAAGGGGAGAGCGAGGGACTAGGTCCCCCAGGGAGGTCAGTACTTTACGACAAAAAGGGGAGAGCGTGGGTCTAGGACCAACAAGGGAGGTCAGCACTATACGACAAGGAGTGGAGAGCGTGGGTCTAGGACCCCGAAGGAGGTCAGTACTAAAGACATGGAATGGAGAGAGTGGGTCCAAGACTCCCAATGGAGGTCAGTTCTGTACAACAAGGAGGGGTGAGCGTGGGTCTAGGATCCCAGGGAGGTCAGTATCATACAAGGAGGGCAGGGCGCGAGTCTCGGACCCGAAGGAAGGTCAGTACTGTACGACAAGGAGGGGAGAGCGTGGATCTAGGAGCCCCTGGGAGGTCAGCACTATAGACAAGGATGAGAGAGCGAGGCTGTAGGACCTCCAGGGAGGTCAGTACAATACAACAAGACGGGGTGAGCGTAGGTCTAGACCCCCATGGAGGTCAGTACTATACGACAAGAAGGGGAGAGCGTGGATCTAAGACCCCCAGGGACCCCCAGGGAGGTCAGTACTATGCAACAAGGAGGGGAGAGCGTGAGTCTAGTACTCCAAGGGAGGTCAGTATCATACAAGGCGGGGAGAGCGAGGCACTAGGTCCCCGAGGGAGGTCAGTACTTTACGACAAAAAGGGGAGAGCGTGGGTCTCGGACCAACAAGGGAGGTCAGCAGTATACGACAAGGAGGGGAGAGCGGGGATCTAGGACCCCCAGGGAGGTCAGTATCATACAAGGAGGGGAGAGCGACGGTCTAGGGCCTCCAGGGAGGTCAGTACTATACAACAAGAAGGGGAGAGCGTGGATCTAGGACCCCCAGGGAGGTCAGTACTATACAACAAGAAGGGGAGAGTGTGGATCTAGTATCCCCCAGGGAGGTCAGTACTATATAACAAGGAGGGGAGAGCGTGTATCTAGGACCCCCAGGGAGGTCAGTACTATACAACAAGAAGGGGAGAGCGTGGATCTAGGACCCCCAGGGAGGTCAATACTTGGGTTAAGATAACAGTAAGGATATAGGTTGGGTTTGTATGGATGACAACTTCTTTATTTCCACTGGTATTACGCTTTAATACAAATAAAAGAATTTATTAGTAATACATATTTAGTGAGAAACTAAAATTGTTATCTCATAAATACTTACTTAGTTACTTTCAGATTAAGATCGTGAAGATCAGTTAGAAAATCCTAAATACATAGATTATTATTTTCTTGTCCAATAACTTGATTACCTCCTCTCGTGACCTGATAAGGTTCACTCGCGGCTGCGGCACTCATGACAATTTGAAGTTTGGTATCTCATCTTGATTTTCCAATTCTCCATTTATTTGGTTCATATGTTTGCAGTGTCCAGGTATTTACAGCTAACTATGTTCCCGGGAGACTGTATCTTGTCAAGCCTAACCACAACCCAATCACGGAACCTCTGAACCTAGGAGAAGAGTTCGTTGGCTGTGTGACCGTGAGCGATGGTGAGATACTTTCACAAAACTAGGTTTACAAACTCGTACTCACAGCTTTAACATTGCCGACGTGTACTGCAAACATAACCATTCTAAAATTATTACATGTATACTAAACTGGGCGGCAAAAGAAAGTATAGGTCGAGTTCCATGATCGATAAAAAAAATAACAAGAAGAGAATTTGTAGATCTAGGGAGGGGTAAGAAATGATTGATCAACCACAGTTTGAATGAAATTGTGCAATCACAGGTAAGCTCAAGTTAAACAATGGTGGGGTAAGAAATTTCAGTTTCAAAAGTTGTCTGAAATGTCACCAAAAAATTGTCAGACACACTACAAATTCATTGTCGACACAGTTGCCTTCAATAGCGTGTATGACCTCCAGCTGCCTCAATGCATGCTGTGATACGCCGTCTCATCGATGACGTCAGTCTTCTGATGACGTGGACTGGAATCCGTTGCCACTCGTTTCTCAGGACCTGCTGCAATTCTTGTTTGTTGACGGGAGGCTGATGGCGTGCTATAGTCTGTCTGTCAAGATGGTCCCACTCATGTTCAATAGGATTCATATCGGGTGTGTGGGCAGGCCAGGGCAAAACGTCAACGTTCTACTGGTTTAGAAAGTTCCGAGTCATTCTTGCAGTATGGAGCCTGGCATTGTCGTGTTGAAACAATGTCCCTTGCTGTTGGTTTTGTAAGAACAGAAGCACAACTGGCCGCAACACTTGGTCTCTGTACTGCACAGCGTTCAGGTTTCCCTGTATCATACCGCCCCACAGAATGACACCTCCCCCGCCGAATGGATGGACCCCTCGAATACACGCCGGACCCAAACGTTCCCCTCTGCGTCGATAAACTCGTTCTCTGCCGTCATTTCGAAACAAGTTAACCCTACTTTCATCAGTAAACAGCACTCGACGCCAATTTCTCACTTGCCAGCGTCGAACCTGCCTCGCCCATCGCAGTCTCAGGCGTCGATGTTGAGCAGTCAGTATCATTCCTCGGAAAGGACGATACGCTCGAATTCCAGCAGCACGAAGTCGTCGTATTACTGTATTACTGTTAGCTAATGGGATGTCCCAACGCTGTTCCGAATCTGTTTCGACCGTCTTCCAGTGGTGTTGTCACTCGGGGTCGTCCGGTTCTAGGCCTGTCCTGTGTCCTCCCTGTCTGCCTGTACCGTTGAATCAGCCTGGCTACTGTCAATGGTGCACAACCAAACCATCTGGCAATTTGGACCTGTGTTGCCCCCATTTCGGCCATACCGATGGCTCTCTCTCTCTCTCTCTCTCTCTCTCTCTCTCTCTGCTCCTGTGACAGTCGTGGCATTTCTTTTGTTTGCTTTCATCACGTGTGGTTATACCCTGCAGACGAACGCATTTATACAGCTAACATGCACGTGCAGTTTATACCATAGGCGGGAAACCCGTTTCACCATTTTGTTGTCACCGCACGAGCGCCGTTCGTGTGGGGTGTTTTTTTGGTACCTGTTCCTGGGCAGTCATATTCCCAATGCCCACTTTCCACTAATTATCGCTGTATTTAGGGAAATTACAAATTGCCAACCTATACTTTCTTTTGCCGCTTAGTTTATAGAGGCATAATATATATTTTAACACCTAAAATGTTTACTATAAACATATTAATGCCTTAATGCTGTATCAAAAGCACGTAACAACAGTTTAAAAAAACACCTTTACATTATTATGATTAATATAATTGATTATTATTATCGTCGTCATGATGAGTGCGACCCTTCTACAGTTACTGAAAGTATTGCCGTTCATCATGGTCAATTACGCCATGACTTTGCAAGTGATTGGTCTAACGACGCTTACTCCAAGTTGTCTCTATCAGCATTCATACTCGCATAATAAAGAAACGCAACACCAGCTTTATACTCACATAGTTTTACTTACTCTCAGCCCATCTGTCAATACAGGACAGGATCAGACCGGCCAGACTCGTCACTAAATGGGGAGAACTTAGAGCGATCGGGATTCGACTCGATCGATTGCAAACCGCGCTTTTCTCTCCTAATGTTGGTACGGGCCTGTCCTGTCTTTGTCACATGTGATAATACTTCATTTTCATTCAATTTGGTTAAAAGTTAGACCTGACCATGAACTCATGTGTGTCGTAATCGGAAAAATACAGAAGCCTACGTGCCAGATTGCTCATCTCTCTATTGATTTTGTGACTTGCTCCGCATACTCCAAAAGGAATATATCTTAAATATCTCTGCTTGTTTCATTACCTAACGGGCGATAAGCTGGAACCAATCCAATGATAAATATGAAATGTCAAGAACACACTTGTGATAAATGTGAAATGTCTTTTATCTATTGATTCCTTTCGAACTAAAAGTTCTCTGTCACAAACTATATCTAATGCAACTCCTCATTGCGGCAATGACGGTTTTATTTGTTACCATTTTCTAATGTTTTTGAGATGCATTTTTAACCTTATAACATAACTCATTCACTAAACTTAACCGTGTATTTTTTGGTACCCACAGTGAAGGCCTTTGATGTCGTGTTGATTCATCGTGTTGTGATCCATAACAACCAACTGGGTACTAGTCGTGAAGAGATGGTAATATACGTCGACGGGTAAGTGTGACACCACACACACATCTGATCGTATTGAGATGGTTATAGACGCCGACGGGTAAGTGTGACAACACAGACATATGATCGTATTGAAATGGTTATATACACCGACGGGTAAATGTGACAACACAGACATATGATCGTATTGAGATGGTTATATACACCGACGGGTAAGTGTGACACCACACACACAGATGATCGTATTGAGATGGTTATATACACCGACGGGTAAATGTGACACCACACACACAGATGATCGTATTGAGATGGTTATATACACCGACGGGTAAGTGTGACACAACACACACATCTGATCGTATTGAGATGGTAATATACGCCGACGGGTAAGTGTGACACCACACATACATCTGATCGTATTGAGATAGTTATATACGCCGACGGGTAAGTGTGACAACACACACACAGATGATCGTATTGAGATGGTTATATACGCCGACGGGTAAGTGTGACATCACACACACATTTGATCGTATTGAGATGGTTATATACACCGACGGGTAAGTGTGACACCACACACACAGATGATCGTATTGAGATTGTTATATACACCGACGGGTAAGTGTGACACCACACACACAGATGATCGTATTGAGATGGTTATATACACCGACGGGTAAGTCTGACACCACACACACATCTGATCGTATTGAGATGGTTATATACACCGACGGGTAAGTGTGACAACACACACACATCTGATCGTATTGAGATGGTTATATACACCGACGGGTAAGTGTGACAACACACACAGATGATCGTATTGAGATGGTTATATACACCGACGGGTAAGTGTGACACCACACACACATCTGATCGTATTGAGATGGTTATATACGCCGACGTGTAAGTGTGACACCACACACACAGATGATCGTATTGAGATGGTTATATACACCGACGTGTAAATGTGACCACACACACAGATGATCGTATTGAGATGGTTATATACACCGACGGGTAAGTGTGACAACACACACACATCTGATCTATTGAGATGGTTATATACACCGACGGGTAAGTGTGACAACACACACACATCTGATCGTATTGAGATGGTTATATACACCGACGGGTAAATGTGACACCACACACAGATGACCGTATTGAGATGGTTATATACACCGACGGGTAAGTGTGACAACACACACACATCTGATCTATTGAGATGGTTATATACACCGACGGGTAAGTGTGACAACACACACACATCTGATCGTATTGAGATGGTTATATACGCCGACGGGTAAGTGTGACAACACACACACATCTGATCGTATTGAGATGGTTATATACACCGACGGGTAAGTGTGACAACACACACAGATGATCGTATTGAGATGGTTATATACACCGACGGGTAAAAGTGACAACACACACAGATGATCGCATTGAGATGGTTATATACGCCGACGGGTAAATGTGACACCACACACACAGCTGATCGTATTGAGATGGTTATATACACCCACGGGTAAGTGTGACAACACACACACACATCTGATCGTATTGAGATGGTTATATACACCCACGGGTAAGTGTGACAACACACATACATCTGATCGTATTGAGATGGTTATATACACCCACGGGTAAGTGTGACAACACACACACATCTGATCGTATTGAGATGGTTATATACACCGACGGGTAAGTGTGACAACACACACACATCTGATCGTATTGAGATGGTTTTATACGCCGACGTGTAAGTGTGACAACACACACAGATGATCGTATTGAGATGGTTATAGACGCCGACGTGTAAGTGTGACACCACACACAGATGATCGTATTGAGATGGTTATATACACCGACGGGTAAGTGTGACACCACACACACATCTGATCGTATTGAGATGGTTATATACACCCACGGGTAAGTGTGACAACACACATACATCTGATCGTATTGAGATGGTTATATACACCCACGGGTAAGTGTGACAACACACACACATCTGATCGTATTGAGATGGTTATATACACCGACGGGTAAGTGTGACAACACACACACATCTGATCGTATTGAGATGGTTTTATACGCCGACGTGTAAGTGTGACAACACACACAGATGATCGTATTGAGATGGTTATAGACGCCGACGTGTAAGTGTGACACCACACACAGATGATCGTATTGAGATGGTTATATACACCGACGGGTAAGTGTGACAACACACACAGATGATCGTATTGAGATGGTTATATACACCGACGGGTAAATGTGACAACACACACACATCTGATCGTATTGAGATGGTTATATACACCGACGGGTAAGTGTGACACCACACACACAGATGATCGTATTGAGATGGTTATATACACCGACGGGCGAGTGAGTGACGGTCCACACACACAGCTGATCGAAACTAGAGAACTAAATACGCCGACGGGTGAGTGAGTGATGGCACACGCAGCTGACCATGACGGGTTGGTTTATATGTACGCCGACGGGTGAGTGAGTGATGGCACACGCAGCTGACCATGACGGGATGGTTTATATATATACGCCGACGGGTGAGTGAGTGATGGCACACGCAATTGACCATGACGGGATGGTTTATTTGTACGCCGACGGGTGAGTGAGTGATGGCACACGCAGCTGACCATGACGGGATGGTTTATATGTACGCCGACGGGTTAGTGAGTGATGGCACACGCAATTGACCATGACGGGATGGTTTATAAGTACGCCGACGGGTGAGTGAGTGATGGCACATGCACCTGACCATGACGGGATGGTTTATATGTACGCCGACGGGTGAGTGAGTGATGGCACACGCACCTGACCATGACGGGATGGTTTATATATACGCCGACGGGTGAGTGAGTGATGGCACACGCAATTGACCATGACGGGATGGTTTATATGTACGCCGACGGGTGAGTGAGTGATGGCACACGCAGCTGACCATGACGGGATGGTTTATATGTACGCCGACTGGTGAGTGAGTGATGGCACACGCAGCTGACCATGACGGGATGGTTTATATGTACGCCGACTGGTGAGTGAGTGATGGCACACGCACCTGACCATGACGGGATGGTTTATATGTACGCCGACTGGTGAGTGAGTGATGGCACACGCAGCTGACCATGACGGGATGGTTTATATGTACGCCGACTGGTGAGTGAGTGATGGCACACGCACCTGACCATGACGGGATGGTTTATATGTACGCCGACGGGTGAGTGAGTGATGGCACACGCAGCTGACCATGACGGGATGGTTTATATGTACGCCGACTGGTGAGTGAGTGATGGCACACGCAGCTGACCATGACGGGATGGTTTATATGTACGCCGACTGGTGAGTGAGTGATGGCACACGCAGCTGACCATGACGGGATGGTTTATATGTACGCCGACTGGTGAGTGAGTGATGGCACACGCACCTGACCATGACGGGATGGTTTATATGTACGCCGACGGGTGAGTGAGTGATGGCACACGCAGCTGACCATGACGGGATGGTTTATATGTACGCCGACTGGTGAGTGAGTGATGGCACACGCAGCTGACCATGACGGGATGGTTTATATGTACGCCGACTGGTGAGTGAGTGATGGCACACGCACCTGACCATGACGGGATGGTTTATATGTACGCCGACGGCTGAGTGAGTGATGGCACACGCAGCTGACCATGACGGGATGGTTTATTTGTACGCCGACGGGTGAGTGAGTGATGGCACACGCACCTGACCTTGACGGGATGGTTTATATATACGCCGACGAGTGAGTGAGTGATGGCACACGCAATTGACCATGGCGGGATGGTTTATATGTACGCCGACTGGTGAGTGAGTGATGGCACACGCAGCTGACCTTGACGGGATGGTTAATATGTACGCCGACGAGTGAGTGAGTGATGGCACACGCAGCTGACCATGTCGGGAAGGTTTATAAGTACGCCGACGAGTGAGTGAGTGATGGCGCACGCAGCTGACCATGACGGGATGGTTTATATGTACGCCGACGGGTGAGTGAGTGATGGCACACGCAGCTGACCATGACGAGGTGGTTTATATGTACGCCGACGGGTGAGTGTGTGATGGCACACGCAGCTGAAAATTGACGAGAAGGTTTATATGTTCGCCGACGGGTGAGTGAGTGATTGCACACGCAGCTGACCATGACGAGATGGTTTATATGTACGCCAACGGGTGAGTGAGTGATGGCACACGCATCTGACCATGACGAGATGGTTAATATATACGCCGACGGGTGAGTGAGTGATGGCACACGCAGCTGACCATGACGGGATGGTTTATATGTACGCCGACGGGTGAGTGAGTGATGGCACACGCAGCTGACCATGACGGGATGGTTTATATGTACGCCGACGGGTGAGTGTGTGATGGCACACGCAGCTGAAAATTGACGAGATGGTTTATATGTTCGCCGACTGGTGAGTGAGTGATGGCACACGCAGCTGACCATGACGAGATGGTTTATATGTACGCCGACGGGTGAGTGAGTGATGGCACACGCATCTGACCATGACGAGATGGTTAATATATACGCCGACGGGTGAGTGAGTGATGGCACACGCAGCTGACCATGACGAGATGGTTTATATGTACGCCGACGGGTGAGTGTGTGATGGCATACGCAGCTGAAAATTGACGAGATGGTTTATATGTTCGCCAACGGGTGAGTGAGTGATGGCACACGCATCTGACCATGACGAGATGGTTTATATGTACGCCAACGGGTGAGTGAGTGATGGCACACGCATCTGACCATGACGAGATGGTAAATATATACGCCGACGGGTGAGTGTGTGATGGCACACGCAGCTGACCATGACGGGATGGTTTATATGTACGCCGACGGGTGAATGAGTGATGGCACACGCAGCTGACCATGACGGGATGGTTTATATGTACGCCGACGGGTGAGTGAGTGATGGCATACGCAGCTGACCATGACGGGATGGTTTATATGTACGCCGACGGTTGAGTGAGTGATGGCACACGCAGCTGACCATGACGGGATGGTTTAGATGTACGCCGACGGGTGAGTGAGTGATGGCACACACATCTGACCTTGACGAGATGGTTAATATATACGCCGACGGTTGAGTGTGTGATGGCACACGCAGCTGACCATGACGGGATGGTTTATATGTACGCCGACGGGTGAGTGAGTGATGGCACACGCAGCTGACCATGACGGGATGGTTTATATGAACGCCGACGGGTGAGTGAGTGATGGCACACGCAGCTGGCCGTGACGAGATGGTTAATATATACGCCGACGGATGAGTGAGTGGTGGCACACGCAGCTGACCATGACGGGATGGTTTAGATGTACGCCGACGGGTGAGTGAGTGATGGCACACGCAGCTGACCATGACGGGATGGTTTATATGTACGCCGACGGATGAGTGAGTGATGGCACACGCATCTGACCATGACGAGATGGTTAATATATACGCCGACGGGTGAGTGTGTGATGGCACACGCAGCTGACCATGACGGGATGGTTTATATATACGCCGACGGGTGAGTGAGTGATGGCACACGCATCTGACCGTGACGAGATGGTTAATATATACGCCGACGGTTGAGTGTGTGATGGCACACGCAGCTGACCATGACGGGATGGTTTATTTGTACGCCGACGGGTGAGTGAGTGATGGCACACGCAGCTGACCATGACGGGATGGTTTATATGTACGCCGACGGGTGAGTGAGTGATGGCACACGCAATTGACCATGATGAGGTGGTTTATATGTACGCCGACGGGTGAGTGAGTGACTACATCCACAGCTTATCGTAACAAGATGGTTATATATACCATACCAAAAGAGTAGAGGATAGTGGGAAACATCAAGACATATGTTCTGATAGATGTGGTAGTGGCATATGGAAATGAAATGATCATAAGTGCTTGGAGTAGGCAGAAGAAGTACTGATTTTTTTTTTACAATCAGGCATATGAGGTACACATTTTCAAACAGTATATACATGAGATGGAGGGTGGTTTACATGGGAGTGAGTGAGTATGGTTTTACGCTGCTTTTAGTAATATTCCAGCAATATCACGGCGGGGGACACCAGAAATGGGCTTCACACATTGTACCCATGTCGGGAATCGAACCGAGCGAATGCTTTATCTACTAGGCTACCCGACCGCAGACAGTTGACAGTTTTCATGACATTCGAGAATGTAACACAGTGCTTATTTTTTCACAATTAAAATGTTCTTTAAATTAAAACATATTTAGGTTTTTAGCATATGAAAGTGGGGCATATGGGTTTTAATTGTTGGTCTGATGAAATGGTCAGGGGTCAATTATTTTGCAGCCAACGTCACTAATATCGGGTAAAACCACTTCTGATGGCCAGATATGCACGAATTCTTCGAGGCATGCTTCTGATGAGTCGACCAATGTCAGCTTGACCCATGTTGTTAAACTCATCAGTGATAGCAACGCCGAGTACATTAAGAGAGGGGCGCAGATTTTGATGTTGACGTACACGTCTGCTAATGACGTCCCTCGCGTGTTCAATGATGCCGGGGTTGAAGTTGTGTTTGGGAGCTTGGTTTCTTCGGAAATGTTCTTGCCACACAAATTATTTGATTGCCAGACATTGGTGTATTTTTCTGTAGTTTCGCCTCAAAACAAAATACCCGCTACCTGTTTTGCAAAGTATAGGTGCTGTAATGTATTTTTGCAGGTGCGTGCCTCAAAAAGCCAAGACCCTGCTGGTGACCGGCCCACAGTGGACTGCAGACTCGGGGAAACAAACAATGTGCTTCAGAGTGGAAGCATTCTACTTCGACAGCTACGACGCCTCTCAGTCGTCACCATCATTAGGCGTCACCGCACACGTCTCCGTACATGCCCGAGACACCGGCATCAATGTTGTAAGTCAGTTACAATGTCACAACAAAAGTTTTAATATAGCGTCACTGATGCCGATATTGTCATTGTAACTGAAGCTATACTGCAACTTCCCGAGGCAAGGGCGTTAACTGACTGTAAAAGTCCAGTTTCCACCCTTGCCGAACTAAGCTGGAGTTTCCAGGCTCGAACGTAGCCTGTTATGTCCTTTCTATCTCCTTCCTATTGATCAATCAGATTCCATCTCTCATGACGCTTGCATTCGCTTCAAACAAAATGGCGGCGCCAAGACGATAATCAAGATCTATATTGTAACAAAACGGGTTTTACCCCGCAAAGTGCATCAGATCACGTGAGCAACTTGATTGAAAACATGAAAATAGTTGCCAAATATCTGTCGACGCTAACATGTCGATACACATAATTGGCAAATCCTGCAATCGACCGAAATCAGCACGGCAGTTGACGAACCGGATGTTGATTTCGTTACGCGATTTTGATTGGACTATGCATACACTCATTAGTCCAGCCAAAATATAACTCCATAATTCCAGTCGAGTCCGGCAAGGGTGGAAACTGGACTTTTAACTCCCTTGCCTCGGGAAGATGACTGTAATGTTACAAACATTTTCAGTATAGATTAGCTACCAGTTCTAATATAAGTACCGTGATTGGAAAAGCTTGAATACCAGCCTGTTTGCAAAACAAATGAATGTTTCTATTAGTTAGAACTTCTCTATCAGATCTATTGACGGAAACGTCCTCAAATACACGTCCTTCTTATTTTCAAACTGCGATTCAATCTTTTGGGTTTTTTAAAATCTAAAAACATCCCTCTACAAACAAGGAGCCTCCACTAGTGTCAGTTGTCAGACTGGACGTAAGCAATATCGTGGGCGGTTGAATAGTTTTGCGCGCAGCGTAAGCAGTATTCGAACCACATCAGTGTGGTGGCAACATGGATTTTGTACCTTTGTGAGTATTCGAACCCTGGTCTTCAGCATGTCAACCCAACGTTGCCATACGGCGATGTCTGGTAGAACACTGCAAAGAGATCTGCAGGCGAAGTAATAAGTGTTCATGTTTTTCTTCAGATGACATGCGGCGGACGACGGAAGCGAATGTTAGAAAGTTTCGATGAGGAAGTTCTGAATGCTGTGGTGTATCTCGCGAATCGCGACACAAACGTTACAGGTAAGCTAACGGGGGACAACAGTATCTCTTTCCGTATTTTCCAAGCAAGTCCGGTTTGGATGCGGAGAGGCTACGCAATACTAGGTGAGGTAAAATGGGGCTTAACGTCGCGTCCAAGATTATTGCACTAAATAGCGACGTGCATGCACGTGTGTGTGGCTGCTTGTACTTGTCCGGACTGATGCCGATTCTATAGTGCGCCCACTGAGATACCATGCCGTACAATGTAGTTTAACATGAATATCCCAGTCAGACACAGTATACTGACTCTGAGCCAACCAGTCCTTGGTTTGGCCCCTTAATGCGTAGAGCCAGGCAGGATAAGAGCAAGTACCATCTTTTAACGTCTTTTCGGTATGACGCGGCCGGGTATCCGCTCTACCACTAGACCACGGAAGTGGTCCTATGCAATGCGACGAAATATCGACATTTCATTATATTCACAAGTGCAACGTCATATTTCCTAGGTTTGTCAGCACCATGCCCGTGCTTGTGGGTTTCACCGAAGTGGTAAACGTCTGAGACATGCATAATTTCGGGCTTTCCTTCCACACTAACCTGACGCGCCGTGACTGGAATACTGTTAAAAGTGGCGTTAAACCGAACTCACTCACTCACTCACTCATGGCGGCCTGTAAATAATCGAGTCTGAACCAGTGGCTGAAAGAATGAACAACTATCCACATGATGACACACAATCAGCCGAGTTACCGAGCCTGACCATTCGTTTGGTCGGCTCTTGGGACAGGCATGGGATACAAGGGTGTATTCTGTCGTGTGTTAATCTCCACGGTAGGACCGCGTAGGGATGCAAGGGAGCATGGGTGTAACGCTGCCTTAAGGTTTCCTATCGTGCGACACGATCCTCCAAACTTGAGAATCGAACCATGTTCGTGGGGACAGGAGTGTGCATCACTCGGTCACCCCTACTGAAGTACAGTACCAATTACTTCAACAACTGTCAAACTTATTTTCATTTTTTGTAGATTCTCAACCCACTGCATCCAACGACAGTCGAAACTGGCTAGTGTCTGCCTTGATTTGTGTCGGCGCTGTTGCGGTCGTCATGACGGTGATTGTCGTCGTTTTCACCGTCTCTTACGTCAGACGCCATTTTGGCAAAAACACCAAATAATAGTTTCCAAGGTCGCTGATACCGCTCCAATACAGATAAACGGTTGAACATGTAATTGGTGATAGTTTCCGCTTTTACTCAACCTTGAAAAACTTTTTTTATAGATGCCCCAGACTGCAGTGATTCCAGATACATGATGTAATAAACTTTCCCAATTCAGTGTTTGTTTTTTCTTAATAAAACGACAAAACCATTTCCATGTTCATAAGAAATCTCTGCAAAAGCAGAGTCAGTTGTACGACATATATCATGAGCATGTGTTTTATGAATCACTATCAAGCATTGATGAGACCAGGTGTCGCGAACAGGTGAGCGGTTCCTGCCCCATCGATGGCATCCGTCACAAACACGTGCAAAAGCAAGTCAAGTGCTCACCTAAATATCACGGAACATATGGTTTGTTTCTAGGTTTGTCAGCACCGTGCTCGTGGGTTTTATCGAAGTGGTAAACGTCTAAGACCTGCATCACTTCGGGCTTCCCTCCTACACTCACTCACTGATATCGTTCAATAACGGTCAAATAGCCAATTCCCTTCCACTGATTTACCCACCTACGCTAAAACTACGAAAATATCTGTTTCATATTTAAATCTATGCATAAAGATTCAGAGTGGCAAAACACTCTCCGCGAGAAGGTATAGTTGCAAATCATTAGTACAGGCATTATCATGTCCCAGGATTGTCTGGTCCATCGATCACTTGATTGTCTGGTTTGTGCACAGGCCGCCGTTCCACGTGAGGCCGCTCGTTGGAACAAAAATATCCCAGAAGGAGATAGATAATGTGACTTGTGTAACTTGTCCTCTATTCCTGATTATTTATTTCCTTGTCAAGCTGTTTCACAAGATGAATTGTCATAATGATGTTATTCTTCACGACTAAAAGATTTGAAATCAGGTCAAAGTTATTAATACCACAATGGTATAGCATAATAATTATTATTAAGTATGCACATAAATGATAACTGTCACCTTGGTTACATATCTATCTATACGTATACTTATCGTAACCTCTGGCCGTCGTGATTCATTGATGGTTTGATTGATGGCTTGATTGATGGTTTAATTGATGGTTTAATTGATGGTTTAATTGATGGTTAAATTGATAGTTAAATCGATGGTTTAATCGATGGTTTAATCGATTGATTGATTGATTGATTGACCAAGGTCGGTCGGTCGGTCGATTGATTGATACAAGTATTTGGTTGTCTGGCTGTAAGGTTGAATGGTTTGTTGGTTGATTAATCTGGCTCTGTATGCAAATAGTGTTAATGACGGGTGCTTACCCGTTTCGCGAGCACCCGGTGTCATCATTGAGTTTCATCGCTATTTTGTTTTTGTACACCCAATGGGATCTGTGTCTGCAGATTACCGAGACTGTTTGTTCTCTTACGTTTTATATTCACTCTTTCATGCTGTAACAGTGAACGCCAATTGTCTAACGACAGAAACGTCAGGGAGATTCCAGTTAAGGCTAGATCCAACTATTCCATGCTTGTTCGAAGTGTCTACTGAAGAGAATCGGCTGCTGCCTGTCACAATACCGTGGATCGCTACTCGTGCTTTGTCTTGTTCAGAATCAGTTGGATAGCTTGAAAATTAAGGCGTTAAACAATACTCACTAGCTCAGTAACGATATCATATATAGTGAATACCGTTGTCCACAAGCAGATCGACACGGGTGGAGTTTGGGTGGTGAATATATACAAGTGTGTACGCATCACGGCACTACAACTATAGCTGCAGATTTGTGCATTTAACATGCACTTGTAAATTCACTTCTGATAATAAAATGAACCCCTCCTTTTAAACAAAACTGGATCTGTGTTTTCACTTGCTGTACTCCATGCGCAGTGGACTGCCTCCGTGGTCTAGTGGATAGAGCGTCAGTCTGGAGAATGGAAGGTCGCGTCATAATGGAAGGTCGCGTCATGCCAAAAGAAACAGATGGTTACCCTGCCTGGTTCTCGGCATTGAGGGGACCAAACAAGGGCTGGTCCGCTCGGAGTCAGTATATTGTCTTTGAGGGGGAACACGTCCCATTTTAATTCTGGAAACCCAAAAGTCCAGAAACTCTACGCTCTTTGCCCAGTCTCGCTTAAAGGTATTTACAAAATTAAACATGCCGTTTTCATGGGAACATACCAAGGAAGAAAAAATGAAAAAAAAATTGTTTAAAAACTCAATATTTAGACTATGTCGCCCATGGGCCTGCCCATGGGCGAAGTGTGGCCCATGGGCCTGCCCATGGGCGAAGTCTGGCCCATGGGTAGGCCCATGGGCAGGCCCATGGGCGAGAATATGATCCTTTACTTAAAACTCATGTTTTTGTTTCGCAAATACATTTAATGTATTCATTCAAGTATCATGACACAAAATTTAACTCATTTTAACTTAATTCAACGATTTTATACCGAAATTGAAATATTTCGCCCATCGGCGAGAAAAAGGTTTGGCCCATGGGCGAGAATATGTTCCTTTACTTAAAACTCATGATTTTGTTTCGCAAATATATTAAATGTATTTATTGAAGTATCATGACACAAAATTTAACTCATTTTAACTTAATTCAACTATTTTATAGCGATATTGAAATATTTCGCCCATGGGCGAGAAAAAGGTTTGGCCCATGGGCAGGCCCATGGGTAGGCCCATGGGCAGGCCCATGGGCGAGTATATGTTCCTTTACTTAAAACTCATGATTTTGTTTCGCAAATACATTAAATGTATTTATTGAAGTATCATGACACAAAATTTAACTCATTTTAACTTAATTCAACTATTTTATAGCGATATTGAAATATTTCGCCCATGGGCGAGAAAAAGGTTTGGCCCATGGGCGAGAATATGTTCCTTTACTTAAAACTCATGATTTTGTTTCGCAAATACATTTAATGTATTCATTCAAGTACCATGACACAAAATTTAACTCATTTTAACTTAATTCAACTATTTTATAGCGATATTGAAATATTTCGCCCATGGGCGAGAAAAAGGTTTTGCCCATGGGCAAGTATATGTTCCTTTACTTAAAACTCATGTTTTTGTTTCGCAAATACATTAAATATATTCATTGAAGTATCATGACACAAAATTAAACTCATTTTAACTTAATTCAACGATTTTATAGCGATATTGAAATATTTCGCCCATGGGCGAGAAAAGGTTCGGCCCATGGGCGAGAACATGTTCCTTTACTCAAAACTCATGTTTTTGTTTCGCAAATACATTAAATGTATTTATTCAAGTATCATGACACAAAATTTAACTAATTTTTACTTAATTCAACTATTTTACGGCGTTATTGAAATATTTCGCCCATGTTTTCGTCAGTCCCTTTCAAGCATCAACTAACTGTTTGCAAAGTATATTGTATCATGTGAAATATACTTGATATTATATCATTACATTACTATTTAAAAAGGGCATTTGGTTGGATGTTTCCTTTAGTTCTACAAATTTCACCTGTTTTACATATTGTAGCGATCTTTAATGAACCCGGCCTTACCTCTCAAAACGTTTTGACAGTTTATCATACGAATTCATGTGCGTGTACTCCAATTCATTGGAGTTATTTTCCACAACATTAAATTTTAGTTAGTTTCTATTATTTCTATTATGTCCCGTTGATACATCACACTGGGCAATTACGTGACACTAGGTATGCAATATACAGGTACGCGTGCGCGTATTTTAATGAAAAAAACTATTCGTCTTTTATTGCATAACGTTTGGCTGAATATCTTACATATAACGAAATCTCGAAATAATTATTTAATTACATGCGGTTTCGAACTGACCAGTGGGAATTATGTCTCAATGCGATTGAGGAAAACGTGAGTGAATATTGTGACACTAAAGCAACTTTTAACTGCATTGTCACTTTTGGTATGAAAATGGTAACAGTTCAGAAAAAACAACAGCCTTCTTATGATAATTCTGATTAGTACGTTGTATCTAATTACAGTGTCGGCCTTATTTACAGGTGATTCTACAATACCTGCACTCGGTCAATTACGATCTACCACACCACGCGTGAATAAACAGTTATGCAGGTGTTGCTGTGGGCAAATACCTAGCCTGAAAATGTTTATTTTTTTTAGGATACATGTTTTACAAATGTTCGTTGATATGTGGATATATTAAGCACAAAGACAAAAAAATGTTTATGAAAGATGAATTAGTGCCTTGATATATTCATCGAGATGTGTATCATCGTTTAATGGGGTCATTCAATAAACGTATGTTTGGAGGAGATATCAAAGGAGCCGCCCAATATACACAGTGTCGTCCGGTGAACTACCACCCCACCCTGTCCATTAGAGTTATGTAATCGGTACACAAATATATTTGATGCGGTGTCAGTGCGGAAGGAGTTTGAATTACGTCCGCCACTTGCCACAGAAATCCTCAAAGTATAGAAACAATAAACAAGGTCAATCCGTACTAATTACCTAGTGACGCACGTAACAACGACTGTCAATAGGGAAAATGGTGAAAACAAATTGAAATAGATTTTAATAAAACATTATTGTACTAAAAAACTCGTAAAAGCGGTGCCTAAAATTGTTTGACCGTGTTATGTGTGTTGTAAACTGACGAATAGCAAGTAATTGTCATGCTGTACGCATGGTTCCATATACAAATTCAGTTATACAACCGGTATGAAACTGAGAACTGAGATACCAAGTACAACCTGCATTCACACACGGAAGCAATATACTTGTGTGTATGCCCTCTCCTCTAAAAAATGTATCACTAAAGTATTTGCATTGTAATAAATATAGTAATGATAAAACTTGGTTATTTGGTAGGTCTCCGACAGATATGATTTTCAGTTTTTTTACACCTTTGATTGATACGGATTACGTACCTGTAGTCTAGTCACTGTCTCTAATGTTATCTGCTTGTTAGAAATTTCAAATGTTTTGTTATAGCACTGTTCCTAAAATACGGCAGTTTCTTTTATCAGTTATAAATAGTTGATTCGTCTTGTCACGCAGTCATTTTTACTTGATCGAATGATTTCCACAAAAAATTACGGGAGAGAGTTTTGTATTTTATTATATTTTTAGAAGATTTTAGAAGATGCTTACATCACTGTATCTCAGAACGTAAAACTGATAACATTCAAACATGTAATTAGTACACAGTTAATTG